CGGCTCAGAGGATCGTACGACCCCTCCGAGCCCTAATGGAGCCCTCCAGCCCTCCAGCCCTCCGAGCCCTCCGAGCCCTCCGAGCCCTCTTGGGGGGCAGTCACATAAGCCGCGACTTCGTTTTTTATCTTTTTGCGACCATGACCCCTCCCGGAGGGCCCTTCCGACCCCTCTCGAGCCCTCCCGCCACGAAGATCCTCCCTTGTTCGACCGTCCCTCCGAGCCCACCCGGCGTCCGGGGAGGGGGTTAGCCCTGTGGAGCCCTCCCGACGCCGATCCGACGGGGACCTCTCCAGCCCTGTGGGCTGGCGTGCGAGCCCTCCGATCGGAGGTGGGTGGAAGTGGGAGGGCTCGAGGACGGACCTCTCTCGCTCCGCGGGAGGGTGGAGGGGTGGAGGGTGTGGAGGGTGGAGGGGTGGCTGGGCCCTCTAGCTCTTCCGAGATAGCCCTCCCGCCGTTTTGGGGCCTCCGCCCCACCCGCCCGCTCTATGGGTCTACTAGCGAAGCTTAGAGCGCACTTGGAGCACTTGGAGTGCGTCATCAGCCGCACATCCAGGGCCGGGGGGCTGAGAAGCACACCCAGCGGGCCAGATGGTTGGGATCGGGTTGCGGGCAAGAGAGCCCTACCTACCTAGCCCTGTGGGGGGTGGCGCGTTCGCACTTCGCAGGGAAAGGGCCGTATGTAAAGTAAACACGGTTCTCAGAGGGTTGGTCTGCGCTTTGGGTTTCCCCTAGCAGCGGAGCGCCCCCTCTACTCGGAGCTAATAGACACCAGACACGAACACGACCTAGGATTCCTATTCGCCGTGTTTTCTTCGCCTCGCGCAGTCGCTGATGGTACGACGCCACGCGCACAAGCCGCGGGTTCGGCACGTTGAGCAGACGCGCCAGGGAGCTCGCTTTCTGCCCGCTGCCGACCGGATGACGCATCTGGTGGGCTCTCGAGGCGCGCTTGCTGCGCCGGCTGCACCAAAGGCGGCGCCTTCGGCGCCCTCGCGGGGCATAGCGAAGCGAGACGGGCCGAGCGAGGCACAAAAGGCGCGGCAGCAGAGAAAAAAGCAGCGGCGGCGCGAGCGATGGGAGGCGAGCCTCGCCGAGCGCGGCGAGGCGGTGCGCCGGAGCGAACTCGGGCCAGGCGAGGCCGCCGCTTGTGGTGGCCGAGACGCTCCAGCGGCGGGGCGGAAGTTGAGCAAGCAGGAGCGAAAGGACCTTCGCAAGGAGAAGGCGGCACCGAGCACGCGGAAGCTGAAGAAGATCTACGAGCAAGAGGGCCTTCCGGGAGCGAGCGATGATGGCGAGGGCGAGGAGGACGACGACGAGGGCGAGGAGGACGAGGAGGATTGCGAGGAGGAGGACGACGGCGAGTATGCCGTTCGCCCCCGGCGCGCTCGCGACGGCGAGGCGGAGAAGGAGGAGGAGGAGGAGGGGGGGGAGGGGGAGGAGGAGGAGGAGGACGACGACGACGACGACGACGACGACGAGAGGCCGCCCTCGGTTGTGCAACGTTCTGCCAAGGCCGAGAAGCGGGCGCGAATCAAACGCGAGAAGCGGGCGGCGCGGGCCGCGGAGAAGGCAGCAGCTACCGCAGTCTCGGGCGCAGGCGTGTTGCCCACTGCCGCGTCCAAGCCGAAGGCGAAGCCCAAGGCCAAAGGCAAGGCGAAACAGGACGGGGCCAGCAGCAGGGTGAGTGTTGAGAAGGTCCGATTGTGAGAGCTCGCTTTAGAGCTCTACACTTTTGTGCCGGCCGGCGGCGCGTGCGGCAGTCTGCGCGAGGAGCAGCATCGGCTCTTGCAGCGCCGCGCAGCAGTGCAGCGCGAGTAGCATACTAATTCACACAGCCTTGTTGTTGAGAGAAGAACCAATACGTCTACGTGTATGGCGCTGTGCGGGGACACATTGTGCATGTGCACATGCAACATGCACATGTGCATGTGCAGTTGGACCGTTTTATTTATTTATTTATTTGGCGCTGTGCGCTGTGAGAGGTTGGATGCGAGCCCCCTGGAGGCCCTGCCCCCTGTGGGCGGTGATGGGGCGCGAGGGAGCCGAGACTACCTGCGGGCCTTCTTCACACGGGCGGGGCACGGGCACTTGTGCGAAGGATAAATAAATAGAGCAGTCATCTCCAGGAGAGATGGGCGACGCACGAACACAGAGCGAAGGAGTTTCGTTGTAAAATGTGCCGTGATTTCTTTGTCACGCTAGCACGCGCCAGTTCGCACCAGTGTCGAGCCTGTCTGCTATAAATAAATAAAACGGACACACCAAACAAGGGGTGGGAGAAGGACAGGGTCCCCACCTGCGCGAGCAGGATCTTGTAAGGACGATCAGGGACACAGGGGAACGGGAGCGGGGAGCGCATCGCGACACGGAGGGGGGCTGGGCAGGGTTCACCCACACGACAGGGTCCCAGGGATTCCTCTCTCGTATAGGACAAAGTTGCACCCGGCGGCACGGGGGCAGGCGCGGGCCTCCTACTGGTTGCGCTCTCCTAGTTCTCCTGCTACTGACGAAAGGGACAGCGACAGGTTCGCAGCACGGTGGACTCCCTATTCCACTGGCGATCTCTCTCGACTAGCGACCTTCCTCCGGCTTCTCACTGGCACAGACTCTCACTATCACGGGCACACTGACAGAGGCAGCCAAGGCTCACGCCGTGGGTGGCAGAGGCGGTGATAGGAGTTTCCCACTCTGTGGGCTTCGCTAGTGGTGCGGCCTACGCGTGTCCTCGCCCTTGCGGTCTTGAGAGGGAAGCCTGTCTGCTGTGAGAGAGAGTTGTTTTATTTAAATTCTTTGTCAGAGGAAGAGCAAGGGCGAGAGGGGGCAGGGGACTGGTCGATGGCATACTAGGGGGGGCAGGGTAGTGGGCGGCGATCGCCGCATACCGTCCTATGGCGGCGAGTATCGCTACGCCAGGGAGGACAAGGACGTCGACGTGCGGCTGCTGCTGTTCGAGTCGTTCGGTGGGTTTGGGAAGGGGGTCGGCGAGATCCTCTGGGGGGCGGCGAACGTGCTGCAGAACAAGCTGACGCGGGCCCAGTACCTCGATGAGGTGACTTGGACCACCAAGAGCTGGCTGGGGCTGCAGAAGCAGCGCATCTCAGTCGTTCTTCACACGGCCATCGCAGAGCAGATTGTGAATGAGCTTGCCAGCGGCGAGGGCGGTCGAGTGCACGGAGCTAAGTGCCTCGCCGTCCTCGCAGGAGTCGCTTACATAGGCGGCTCCCGTGGTGTACCTGTGTTAGTGCCAGTGCGCGCCAGTCCCGTGCCTAGTGTCGTGCGAGGGAGTCTTGTTATAAGATTCTTCTCTTGAGAGTGCGAAGGAGTTTCGTCGACCCGTGATTTCTTTTGTCACGCGGTGGGGAGACTGAAGGCGGAGCGAGGCGGAGCGGATACGTCGGAATGCATGTCCTCATCGCTGTTGCCAGCCTCCACGGCTCAGTCGATCCACACGCCAAGGCTCCTTCGATTCCCGTGATGGGCGTTCCCGTGATGAACGGCTTGACGCTCCTCGATCAACTCGTGACGAGCATAGACCACCCAGTGCACAAACTCGTCCTCGTCCACAACCTGGACGACGGCCAGCCGAATGCGGAAGTGTGCGCGTGGACCGCACGAATGAGGAAGTCTCCGCCCAACCATGTCAAGCAGGTCTCGGTCGTCACATACCGTGAGAACCTTGGGTGTGCCGCAGCTTGGAACACGATCATGCTACAGAACCAACAGTCGCCGTGGTGGCTAATCGTGAACGCAGACGTCTCCTTCAGGCCTGGCACGCTTCGAACGATCGCGTCCCACGTTTGGGCGGGGCTGCTGGCTTCAACGCCTGGAGGACGAGACCCAGTGTGCAACTGGCTGTTCCACGGCTGGAGCGCCTTTGCTCTCGCCAACCGTGCCCTTCACCGCGTGGGCACCTTCGACGAGAACTTTTGGCCTGCCTATTCGGAGGACTGTGACTATCAGGCGAGGCTTGAAGATCCCTCACACAAACATACATGTACATGTCCCACCATCCCTCTCATCTCACCGTACTCGGGCGGGGGCAGCGGGGCACGCGCGCGCAGCACTCAGGCGAGGGAGATTTTGTATCAGAGTTAGATCGCTTTTACTTTTATTTAGGCGAGGCTTGTCCGCTCCGGTTGCAGGTCAGACAGCTCCCTCAGTCCGATCAACCCGGATCGGTACCCTCGCTGGGTCCACCCCCTGTTGAAGATCGTGTCTTCCCTCACGGGATCGGTGTCTATTGCGCACGAGACGAGCTCCACGTTCAAAGCGAACTCCTCGAGCCGGCTGCATCGCACTGTGAAAAGTGGCAAGAACAACAACGACTATCTTAGCAGCAAGTGGGGCACGAAATTCAAATATTGCCAGGAAGGGCCTCTGCAGACAAACGCGACGGTCCCAATCCGATGGCGTTTGGATAAAGCAAGGCGCCGCAAGCGAGGGGGGCCGCCGCGGTGCGTCGCGTGTGACGCGCATGGGCGCGCCGTGAGAGCGGGGCAGCACGTTGTAATTCAGGACGACAGCGAGCAAGCCTGCGGATCCACGCCTTGATTCGCGTTTCGTGCGTCTAGGAGCGGTGGTACCGATGCACGAAGCGTTCACCGGCGCAACGCTGAGCTCTCCCTAGCATGTGGTGTGGCTGTGGGCAGAAGTGCCCCCCCCCCCCCCTGGAAGCGATGTCCGCCTGCTCCATGTGCCATATGGCGGGCAGGGGAGTGAGGAGGAGAGAGGGGAGGGGGGGGCGGGCAACGCAACTTCATACCACGGTTTTAAGAAAATTCGGCGACGGGCCGAGCGCGGTGCGTCGTGCGTGTTGCGGTTCTGTTGCTGAAATTCGATTGTTGCCTTTTGTGTTAATATAACAGCTGGCCCTCGACTTACAGCACTCGGATGAGGACCGCCGCTATTTCCCTCTGGGGGCCGCCCCTCTATCTACGCCGCGCATTTTTTTTTCTCAAGTGCCTGGAGTTCTTGGTGTGCCCGTGTTGACCGTACCCGCACGTGCCAGTCGCAGTCCGCGTCTGTGTCGAGCCTGTCTGCTGTGTCCTGTGAGGCAGAGAGTTTTCTTTGTTGTCTCTGTGCTCTGAAATTATTTTTTTCGTGGTTAAATTCTTATTTCCCTCTCCTCTCTGCTCACAAAACCTTGTATAAATTGTGTAACCTGTGTTAGGTGACAGTGCGCGCGAACCGCCAGTCCCGTGCCCTTCCGGGTATGGTAGGGTCCGCGGATGGTCCTGACCGCGGAAGGACATCATACCTTACCCCGCAAATAGTCCGAACCCAGCTAGTTCCGCCTCGCTGCAGCAGACTCACTCAGTCTCTCTCTCTCCGGTCCCCCGTCCCGTAATTCCTCCCGTATCCACGCGCCCAGCAGCGCGTACCGCGCCGCCTCCGCCTCATCGCGGCCGCGCATCCCCACGGCCTCGCCCAGCTGCATGTAGAGCGGCGCCTCCTGTGTGTGCGCCTCCCACCGTGGCAGGCCCGCGCCGTTTGGGTCACCGGAGAGCGCAAAATTGGCGAGGAATGCCATCGCCGCATCGGGCGCCGGTCCAGCGGGTCGGCCGTCGTCGCCCCACCGGGACCCGTTCCACAGCGGCGTGTCCGACCCGTGCTCCGTGTGACCCGTCTGCGTCACACGGTACACGTAGACCGGCGCCGCCGCCGGCGCGTCCACGAGCAAGTCCGCCATCGCCCAGCTGCCCACGGCGTACCACAAGTCGTCGGACAGCCGCCCGAGCGCGACCTCGACGTCATTGTCAGATTCGGCCGGGTAGAGCCGCAGCGCCTCCGCCAGCCGCGCCGCGCCGAGCTTCCGCTCGAGGAGGCGGCGGTACTCGTCAACTGTCGCCACGTCGTCGAACATCGTCCACTCGAGCTCCGCCTTGCCGAGCCCGTCGTCAGCCGTCACGCCGAGCAGCACCGGAACGCGGTGGAAGCGGCCGCTCGACAGCGCCTCCACGGACGTGAGGGGCTTGGCGGCGCCGAGGCCCGCCCGCCGGTCCACGGCCGGCTCGTAGCAGTCGGTGGCCGCCGTGTCCCAGCTCTTGTCGACGATGGCGCTCGCGGGCAGCGAGCGGCACCGCCGCAGCTCCTCCGCCGCGTCGTCGCTCGCGCAGCCCAGCGCAGCTGCCAGCGCGCGGCCCCACTCCTCCGCCGTCTTGTGCTGCCACACTTCGTGCCGCCCGCGCAGCTCGCGCACGTTGGTGAGGTCGACGCACGACTGGATCATCGCCCGGTGAAAGAGCTCTTCAGCGAGCGGCGACACGAGCAGCGTCGCAACAAGCTGCGCGCCGGTGCTGAGGCCCCAGATGGTGACGTTGGCCGGGTCGCCGCCAAAGGACGCGCCGTGCGCCTGCACCCACCGCAGCGCCGCGACCAGGTCGAGCACCGCATAGTTTCCGCTGCCGCGCTCGCCGCCCTCGTCGTCCTCGGCGGAGAGCGCGGGGTGCGCCATGAAGCCGAGCGCGCCCAAGCGGTACTGCGCCGCCACGTAGACGAGGCCGTGCCTCGCTGCCAGCTGGTGGCCGCTGTAGTCGTCGTCGTGCGCGCTCATCAGCTTGCCGGCGCCGCCGTGAATGTAGAAGAGTACCGGCCGGAGCGCTTCACCTCCACCGATCAGCGCCTCCGGCGTCCACACATTCAGCTGCAGGCAGCCAGCCTCCGAATCTGCCACCCGCACGCCGAAGGCTGTGCCACGCTTATTCCAGCCGAGGTCTGGCTGCGGCGCGCGCCAAAGCGGTGCCCAGCTCTGCGCGCTCTGCACCTCATCTGCGGCGGCGGGCGGGAGCGGCTTCGGCGGCCGCCACCGGTCCGCTCCGACTGGCGGCGCGGCGAACGGGACGCCGAGAAAGCGGGCAACGCCGCCGGTGGCACAGCCGCCGATGGAGCGCCCATCTTTGAGGCGAAGCGCTAGCCTCGTAGGCCGGAGGCGACGGCGCCAGGTAAGGAGGGCGAGACCGATGGCGGCGGCCATCGCGCCAACGGCTGCGGCGGCGGCGAGGTCGCGAGGCATGTATGTATGTGTACACACAATGGCGGGGGACAAGGAGAAACCAGAGCGGGCAGAAAGTCAAGAAAGCGAAAAAAGTCATCCTTGACTTTCTCAGCGCCCTGACGGCCCGCCGATGGCAGACCCGACTCTCTCCATCCGCATGGCGCCGCCCGATGGTGCCGGCAACCCTACGGAGCGGTTTCTCCTAGGGTTAGCGTCGAAAAAGCCGGCTTCCTTAGCTCCGGCTAGGTAGGGCTAAGGGGCCTCCGCAGCCGACCGCGAGGAAGGGCCGACTTTGCGTTAGCATAGCGGGCCGACAAGGCCGCCCACGCCCGCGAGGATGGTCGGGCGCGTGCCTCCCCGACTCGGACGGCCGCCTCAGAGGGCGGACATGCTTCCTACTCGCTTAGTGTGGGTAAACCATAGTACCGTATACGGTACTATGAACAGAGAAGCCCATAAAAGTCGCCGCGGCAGTCCACGCCGAGCCGGCCTGCTGCCGGCTTGCACGGCAGCCTTTTCCTCTCGACCAGCCTCAACTTCCGTACAGTCAACATTTTGTCGCTGCGTGCTCGTGGCGAGCTGTGGCGGCGGTCGAAGTTGGCCCAGATTCGACGACGAGCGCCGGACGATAGTACCGCCTCTGTTCGCCCTGTGCATGTCAGACCAGGCTGCAGCAGGGCACTACCATCGTGCTGCCCTGCTGCAGCCTGGCCCTGCCCACTGTGCACAGCCGCCAGAGCACCACCACCGCCCGGCATCGTGTCACGGCGAGCTCCTTCTGCGCCCGCTCGCGAGGCTCTCGCGCTGGCACACTTTGGCCATCTGCTGCTCGCGTTCGGCGAGCTCTTCTCCGCAATCCTGCCACGGTGCCGCCACCACACACCTTCTGGCCGGCCTGAGCCGCGCGGACTCGCCGGCGGGGGCAACGTGTCGACCTCTCTCTCTGGTGCACCACGGGCCGCGACGGCCTGCGAGCAGCTGGCGCGAGGAGGCAGTGTGCCGGCACAGTCGAGCCGGAGCATCGGGTTCTTGATGCTTGTGGGGTCGAGTTTGACCTTATGTGGCATAATATGCAACAATAAGGCTATGCTATCTCCCGGATTTTTGAGATATGATCCCTCAAAGACAAAGTCGAATTATGGTTTACTGGTGACCATAGTACCGCCGTCGTGTCTTGTTCGCGTTTCTTCCGGCGAATACTTTAAAGTCTCGACAATCACTAAGCTGCTTATGTGGCACCGCAGAGGCTCCCTTGGGGATGCCTGAGGCCACCCCAACCACTCACCAAGCCTTACGTGGACGAATTCAAACCTACTTTTATGGTTTACCCACACTAAGCGAGTATCGCCCTCTCACCCGCGGATGGTGGCCGAGTCAGCGGCGTCTCCGCACCGCCACGCACGCCCTTGCAGCGGTGCAACTCTCGGACTTCAACCGAATAATACTCATCTGCACCAGCGTTTTGCGGTGAAAATCGTTAGCACTTGGAGCACTTGGAGTGCAATCAGTAACCTCACATCCAGGGCCGAGGAGCTCAGAAGCGCACCCAGCGGGCCGGATGATCGGTGTCGGGTTGCGGGCAAGAGAGCCCTAGCCCCGGGGGTGCGCGTTCGCAGGGCAAGGGTAGCAGAAATCGATTCTACGGTGTCGACTTGGGGGGGGACGCTCTCCTCTCGCCTAAACGGGCTAGAGGACGGGCTGTGGAGAAGGCTGCTTCGCGAGCCGGGCGTGCAGCAGACGGGCGCTAGTCGTGGCAAGCGTGACTTTATAGTGCGTGCTGCGTCCGTGCACGCACAGGTGGCTTTCCAGCTGGAGCCCAGACGACTGCTGCCTTCGAGTGCGCCGTCCACTCGCCGAACAAGTACTTTGAGTCGGAAAACATGGTGTCCGCAGCGATGCTTCGGCCGTGTGAAGAGCAGAACGCCTTGCGAGCAGTTGTAAGGTGCTTCACCGGCCAGTATCAAGGCCTGTCTGAAGGCTGTACTGATCGGGCCGGCCACCCACCAGGTCCTCCCGGCCCAGTCTCACCCCTGAGGGTACTCCCAACACACCCTGTACGCGAGCCCAGATGTGACCACCCAGTTGTCAATCTGCGTCCCTGCTCGGTAGGTGGCTTCGTCCGCCATGGTCAGCAGCTCTCGGCCTCCATCCCCCAGCATCTGCTGGAACAGCCTGTCCGCCAGGGTCGCCCTCTGTGCGCCCCTTTCCCTCAGCGCCTCCTCCGTCTCTGCGTTGAAGTCCCCCCCGATCATGTATTCTCCCCTCGTGGCATCGAGCGCCTCGGTTAGCTTCTCCCACATCGGTCTCACCACCTCCGCCTTCCTCTGTCTCACCGGCATGTAGACCCCAAACTGCGTCCACTTCCTGCAGCTGGCCACTTCCTCTACCCCGACGCTCACTATTCTCCCCTCCTCAACTTCGGTCGCCACCGCTCTCCCTTCCGTGTCCCTATTCTCTACTCGGATGTGAGTGGGGTCCCACACGACCAGGACCCCCGTATGCATCTCCCCCGATATGTGGTCGCACCAACCTGGCGTGCCGCACCCGTCCAACCCTCTGGTCTGCAGCAACGCTATCGCCTCTTCCAGCTCTCGCCTAGTCTGTTTGGTGTCTGCGAGGGTGGCGATGGTCACACACCCCTGCTTGATGATCCCTATCACATCTTCTAGCTTCGCTGTCGTGTCATTCCCTGTATCTCTCACCCGACTCGCGCCCCCTGTCCCCCCTCTCAGCTCCTCGATCTCCTCCATCGTCTCGCCCCGCCTTTCCAGGTGCAGCCCGCACACGTTGAGCGTGAGGCAACACGCAGGACGTTCTTTTTGCTCGCTTCTCCTTCCCCTCGCTTTTGTCGCTCCCCTAACCCCCCCGCGCGCTCCGCCTCGGCCCGCCCCGCGCCCGTTGCCGTGCAGCGCACGCATGAGCGCATTCCACTCCTGTATTGACATTTGCCACACGTAGTCTGCCGGAACTCCTAAGTGCTCGAGGTCGGGGTCTGTGAGCGGTTCCTCCCCCCGGCGCACTCTCTCCTCATCCAGCCTCTGCAGCTGCCCCCTAGCATCCCTGCACCTTCTGTTACGCCTCCGCTCCCACGACTGCAGCCTTCCCCTGCCCTTGCTCTTCCTGCTCCCGCCTCCCCCTGCTTGTTTGGTATTGCGGCCGATTGACGCGCGTCCCAAAAGTCGCCAAAAGTGGCGGCGCGTCGCAATCACCCGCCCGCCGTCCCGGCGGTCCCGCAGCTCGCGCACATCTCCCTCTTAACCCACCTGTAACATCACATTAAGGTATTGCTAAAAATCTCTCTGTCAGATTTTTTATCGAATTTTCGCTTGCTGGTGTACACGTTCGCAGCAGGGTTCGAGGCGTGAGGGGGTGAGGGGGTGTGTGAGGGGGTGAAGGGTAGGGTATCATCGGACTTCGCCAAGAGGGGGTGTGTGAGGGGGTCCCCACGAAGTGGGGGGGGGGGTTACAAAGTGACGCTCGTATCAGTAAACTAAGCCATGTAGGCAGATCGCCAAGAAGTTGGCCGACGATGTCTCCGAGCGTCTCTCGGCGTCTGCCACTCGTGTACCACCCGCACTACTCGTGCTCCTGGCCGCCCAAGCACCGCTTCCCGATGTCCAAGTTTGCGGACCTCCACGCGTTTCTCCTCACCCAGCCGTCGGTCCTCGCGACGGCCTCGTGGCACCAGCCGGAGCTGCCTCCGCACGCGTGGGTCGAGGCGGTCCACGAGCGCGAGTACTACCGCGCCTTCCTCGGCAGCAGGCTGGGCGACGCCGAGGCACGCCGCATAGGCTTCCGCGAGCAGCTCAGCCGACCGGAGCTGATCCGGCGCACGCGGCTCGAGGTTGGCGGCACCGTCCTCACGGCGAAGCTGGCGCTGCGGCACGGGCTGGCCTGCAACCTGGCGGGCGGGACCCATCACGCGCACGCCGGCACGTGCTCAACGACTCCTCGCCGAGCCGTCGCCCGACCGCTTGCGGTGACGCCACGACGCCGCGGTGTGCAGGCGCCGGCTCCGGCTTCACCATCCTCAACGACCTCGCGGTGGCCGCCGCCTATGTGCGCAAGCACGAGGGCGTGTCGCGCGTGGCTGTCGTCGACCTCGACGTCCACCAGGGCGACGGCACCGCCACGCTCTTCGAGGGCGACGGCTCGGTCTTCACGCTGTCGATGCACTGCGGCGCCAACTTCCCCTTCCGCAAGGCGCGCTCTGACCTCGACATCGACGTGCCCTCGGGTGTGCCTGCGACGAGGCCGGCCGCAGCGGCTCCTCGCGCCGCCTCACAGCTGCCGCCGCGAGTAGGCACCGCCGACGCGGGCTACCTGAGGCTGCTGCGCGAGGCGCTGCCGACGATGCTGCGCCGCTTCCGGCCCGAGCTGGCGCCGCCGTGGCGACGCGGCTCCGAGCCACAGGCGGGCGTGCGTCTCACGCGTCCGGTGGCGCGTCCCTCCAGGTGCTGTACGACGCGGGCGTCGACGTGTGGGAGGGCGACGGGCTCGGCCACCTCAAGCTGTCGCACGCCGGCATCTGGAGCCGCGACCGGTACGTCATCGAGACGTGTGTGCGCAGCGGCGTCCCCATCGCGTGCGTCATCGGCGGCGGGTACGACCGAGATCCACTGGCGCTGGCGCGGCGGCACGCACTGCTCCATCGCGCAGCCGCGCGGGTGTGGCGCGGGTCTGCGCGCCTCTCCGGCAGTGCGCCTGCGGAGGTGCCTCTCGAAGGGCTTGCGCCCGGGCGAGACCCCGGGCGAGCGCGGAGCGGGATCACTGAGAAGAAGGCGCGCGACCGAGTTGGAGGGCCGCGTTTGATTGATGCCTGATGTGGATCCGGATGCGCGCTTTCGGTGTGTCGTTATGCGACCCGCTTTTTTCTTCACCGCACACAAATCGCCGAAGAAGCGCGCGAACGGCCGAACCGGTTCCGAAGAGTCAAGAGACCGAACCCCCGAAGTCGTGGGACGACGGACGTGTGGGGTGTCGCGCTCGCGGCGCGGTCGGCGCGGTCGGCGTGGTCCCGCGGGGCCGCGCCCCACGTGACGCCGGTCGCCTGCGCTCTACGGCGGCTACCGGGCACGCCGCGTGTGTGTAATTAACGAGCCAAGACGCCGAGAGCCAGAGCGCAGGCCGGGTCCCACGCGAGCCCTGCCCGGCGCCGGGCTCTCGGCCGGCCCGCGCTCTGGGCGCTGTACTGAGTACTCGCCCCCTGTGTGTCGAGAGAGTGTGGGCACTGGTGCGCGCCACACACAGACACACCCACAAGACAGCGTGCGCGCGGCTCCATGCAGATGTGCACCTCCGCCCCCCTCTCCCTCCTGCCCCTCTCCCTCCCCAATGGCCACACCCTGTCATCGAAGCGAACGAGCGTCTGGCCGCGGCAGCTATTCAGCGACGGCCGGCGCTGGACATGCATGCGCTCTGCTCGTTGCCCTCCCCTTCGAGATCGCCACTGCGATTGCGCCTTGCTGCGGCCTCTCAAAGCCCGCTCGCAGCCCACACCCACCCAGCATGCAAGCGCCGGCGTGCGAGCCTCACGTGCTCGCCTGCACTGCTCAGGCGTGGTTCTCCTTGGCCGTCGGCGCGGGCGTGACAAACGCGTTTGGCGGGAACTTGGCGGGCGGGCCCTTGCGTGGGCTGTTGACCGCGTGCTGCTCCCTCGGCGTGAGTGCGCCGTCGGGGGCGGCGGATTTGCGCGCGGGGGCCGTGCCCTTCCTCGGACCTATGGATAGTTGCGACACATGCGCGTCATTGGCGCGTCGCACACGGCTGCGGAGAGGAGGCAGCCGCGCGCCATTGGAGTAGCGCGCGCCGGGCCGGACCCCCTTGGCCTGGAGGCCCTTTGCCTCCTCGCGCGCCGCCTTCTTGGCTGCCCACTCCGCCTCCTTGCGCGCCTTCTCCTCCTTCTCGATGCGCGCGTCGTCCTCCTCCTGCGCGGCCAGCATCGAGACGATGGTCGCGCCGTCGTAGTGGAGCCGCTCGCCTGAGGGGTGGCGGACGGGCGCGGTGGGAGATGGGGCGGTGGGAGATGGGCCGGTGGAGGAGCTGCTGCGGTGGTGGGCGGGAGGTGCTGCTTCCGCCAGGAGAGAGGGCGCGGCGGCGGCTGGCATGCGGCGGAAGCCAACATCCGGGGGTGGGGGTGCGCGCGCCCGCGTGCTCCTCCTCCCACGCGGCCGTCATCTCGCGCAACCGCTTGTTCATACGTGGCAGGTCCTACAGAGGCGCCACTGGCACGCGTCATGGGGCGCGCCGCCTCGCGACCGCTCCTCGCGCCGGCGGCAGACAAGCCTTCTCGATGGTCGTGCGCAGCCGCTCCTCCTGCAGCAGCCTGCGCGCGACGCCGGCGCCCTTGGCGAGCAGCCGATTCGGGTCGTTGGCCGAGGCGCGCATCTCCGCCCGCTGCTGCAGGACGCCCTCGCGCTTGGAGAGGAGAGCGAAGAGCTTGACCGTGGTCGCCTGAGGGAGAAGGCCCATGCGGAGGCTCCGGTGAGGGACTCCAAGACGACGAGGCGAAGGCGAGGGCGATGGCGATGGCGATGGCGATGGCGATGGCGAGGGCGAGGGCGAGGGCGAGGGCCGGGAGGGAGCTCGAGGCGGCCGCTCGCCTGCCTCTCGCGCAGCCGTCGCTCCTCTGCCTCGAGGTCGTACAGCTGCTGCTCCTCGTCGCCACCATCGCTGCTCACCGCCGCCGCCAGCTCGGCGGCCGACACGTGCAGCTCGGCCGCGAGCGCGGCGACACGCGAGCGCCTACAGAGCGCGCCGCGGGGACGTGTCGCTGACGGGCCCCGCCCGATGGGTGCGGGGCGGCGCGCGCGCGTCTCGGGGATCAGCTCTGAGATGCGCTCCGACTTGAGCGCCTCGAGCCGCTCGATCTCGGTGTGGTAGGTGACGAGGACCTGCCGGGGGTGTGGCGGGCGTCGGATGTGGGTGGGTGGGGAGGGGGGAGGGGGGGGCTTCAGTGCGGTGCGCGCGGATTGCCTGCTGCGAGAGGTCCTTCTCGGGCGAGGGCAGGTCCGGGTGCTGCTCCTCCGGGATCTTGAGCTTGTGGCGCAGCTCCGCAATGTACTCGGTGCACTGCGGCGGCGGCGGCGGGCGGGGATGGGCCGGGTGATGGGTTGGGAGGGTGCTCGGTCGGGCGGCGCGGCGGCGCGGTGGTGGCGGCGGTGGCAAGGGACGGCACGGCGAGGGTTGGAAGAGCGGCGGGCCTGCGAGAGGACGTGCAGCCGTCGCTTCTTCTCCTCGCGGAGATGGTCCAGCCGCGCCTCGAGGGCGGATAGCGCGCGGTAGGATGCGCCATCGCCCTCGGTGCCCTCGCACCCGGCCTCCTCCTTCGTCCCCAGCTGCTCCGTGATTGCATCTGCGGCGGCGCGCAGCGCAGCGAGCCGCTCGAGCCGCGCCGCCCGCTCCGCCTCAGCCGCCTCCAGCCGCTGGCGGAGCCGGTGGACGAGCTCGACGGTGAGACCGCCGGCGCCCTCCGGTGCGGGCTCATCCGCGTCTGCCGCCGTGCTCCGCGTCTGCTCCTCCTCTGGCGTGCCGGTGGACAGCTCCAGCAGTATTGCGTGCAGCGACGAGGCGGCCGCGCTGCGCTGCGCCGCGCGCTCGTCCCGCAGCACGCGGAGCCGCTCGACTTCGGAGATGACAGCGCGGTAGCGCAGCAGCGGCGGCTCGCTGCTCGACGTCCCAGGCGACGCCGGCTCGGCAAGCGCGGCGGAGAGAGCCGAGAGCTCGCCGCGCAGCGACGCCTCATCCGCCGTCAGCTGCGCCTTGCGGGCCTGCTCGCCTTCGACGGTGCGGCTGAGCACGGAGCGCAGCTCACCGGCGAGCTTCGTGATTGCCTCCTCCGCCTCGGCGTGAGGGAGGCCGATCTCGGACCAGGCGGTCCGCAGCGAGGCGAGAGCGATCTGCTGCTCGTCAGTGGGCAACAGCGGCGAGGACATTGTGCCTGCGGCGGCGACGGACGTGGTGTTGGGGGCGGGGTTGCGGGGAGGGGGCAGGGCCGGGGCGGGCGGAGCCTGGCGGGCGCGTAGCGCAGCTCAGCGCAGAGCGAGCTCCTGTTTGAAAGCCTCAAATTCTTTGTAGAAAAGAAATTCTTCTCCCGTGTGTTCTCCGACGCCTGAAAAGAGAAGAGGCTCCCCGAGCTCCCGAGATCACGCCCCTCCGCCCTCTAGGGCCGTACACCGTCCTCGGTCGTCGCGCTCCGGGTACGCGCCCCGTAGCCATACATGTACGTGTGCGGCGCCGGTCACCGCGCGTGTGAATGCGACGGCGGGCGCGCTGCGGTCGCACGCCACCCCAAGCCATATTCCATGGCGCGCGATCTAGATTCAGCCCACGCGCCTCTGCTCGCAAACACTCACATTGAATTGTCACTGCCCGTGAGTGCGAGGATAGGGCTAGCGGCTGGCCGACGCCTCTGAGGAGGGCGTCCATAGACACCTCACATGACCCCACACACGGTCTCGTCCATGCCTTGCGGCTGGCGGCGACATTGCTAGAGGCGGAGCAAGCCTGCTCTAGTCTCACATGTTACTTCCTGTCGTCTGTTGTGTCGTTGTGGCTGCCCTTGTTTGTTCCTTTGGCACCTTGGAGTGCTGGGGGGGGGGCGACAGGAAGGATGTGGCCCTGAGTTATGTGTACGCCAATTCAGGGTGTGTGGCAGCCACGCTGGCTGTGTGTCTTGTGAGCTTGTTTGTGTCTGTGTGTTGCTCGTGCGTGTCGTCATCATCTGTCCAGCGTCCACCCATACGCATACCGCGCTGGTGTCCAGTCCGAGCCTGACTGTTCTTCACCTTTCTACCTAGCCTAATGCGTAAAGCCGTACGCGACTCGAGAGCTGCTGCCTGTGTTCAAACAAGTCCCGTGTTTTTCTTTTATTACCCTAGTCTTTTCTTTTTTACGCTCTCTTCTGTGAGCCCAGTCACCTCGCTCGTTCGTGCCCGTGTGCTTTTTGAGAGACGGAGAGACGGCAGACGCTCGTCTCTTAACAAACTTAAGAACTCTTGCCCGGCACTCTGCTAGCGTGGTTGGGTATAGAGCGCTGTAGACACGGCACACGCTGCCGCGAACGTTTCTTTCTTTTTCGCCCGCAAATTCTTGTTCCCCCCCCCCCCACACACACACTGATCACTGTCACAAGACACACACACACACACCACACACACACACACACACACACACACACACACACCGGAGCCTCCGCGCCCACCCACACGCCGGCCACCACGCCCTCGCAGACTCGAAGATAGACACTGAGAGAGGACAGCGAGGCACCTAGCGCACACAGCAGCGCCGCCAGCCCGCCCTCCCAGCTCCCTCCTGGCTCCCTTCACGCCGGCGCGCCGCAGAGCGAACCAGCGCCCCTCCGCGAAAAAGCGCGCCGGGGAAAGCCCCCCCCTCTCTCTTTAGCCAAACAGCGCCAGGATGTCCTGCTTTGACGCCGGCGCCGGCTCGGGCTGCAGGACGGGCGCCGGTTCGGGCTGCAGGGAGGGCGCCCCGCCGCTTGGCTGGGCGAAGCCGCCCACCGTTGGCGCGCCTGTGCGTCGAAAGCAGAGCGCGGGCTGGCTGAGCCGGGGGCAGAGAGTCTTCAGGGCCGGAGTTGCCGGCGCACCGTGACCGCCGCCGTAGCCACCGCCGTAGCCGCCGCCCTGGCCGCCGCCGCCGTAGCCGCCGCCGCCGTAGCCGCCGCCGCCGTAGCCGCCGCCGCCGTAGCCGCCGCCGCCGTAGCCGCCCGACACTCCTCCTCCGGGGACGCCGAGCAACGCGTGGGCTGGGGGCGGCGGCGGAGCGTTCTGCGCGTACATCGACATGATGTCGCCTGGGCGGGAGCATGTGCAAAGGGCTCGAGAGTTAAGAGGGACAGGCGAATCGCCGGCTGTGGGGCCTCGGGTGTGAGCGCCCGAGAGGGCGCGCGGCGCGCGGGGTGGAGGGTGAGGGGAAGATGTGAGTGCTGGCGGGGGGGGGATGGAAAGTGGCGGGGCGCGCCGGGTGTTCGGGGAGAGACGGGTAGGGGGGGGAGAGCGTGAGGGGGGGGCGAGGGGTGGGGGGCTCGGCGGGGCAAGGCGGCAGGCTGGGAAGGGCTGGGCAGTGGGAGAGGGGCAGGGCGCGGCGACGGGGCGTTGCCAGGGGCGAGGTGGGGGTTCCGAGGGGTGTGTCGCGGGGCCAGAGGCGCCGGATGGGGTGGAAGGAGGGGGGCAAGTGGGGGGGGGGCTGCGAGCGAGGTCTGCGCAGGGCGGATGCCGGGGGGTCAGTGAGAGGGGACTGCGTTGGCGAACTGTGCGGGGGGCAGGGTGGGTCGAGTGGCTCCCGGGCGTGTCCGGAGGACAGCACAGGGGGGGAGGGGGGCCGCGCCGCTGCGAGGTGGAGTGCCGCGCAAAACTCTGGCGCGGTGAGCTCTGTGCTCGGGGTGGCGGCGGCAGCAGGCCCGGAGCGAGACGCGACGCAGAGCGCCTGCAGAGGGCGCATGGCGCAGGGGCGCGGATCAGGCACCGTGACCCTGCATCTTGGGCGGACCGGCCGCCGGCGGGAGCGCGTGATTTGGTGATAAGGCGCTATGTGTGGCGGCCGCAGCGTATACCCAGATTGCGTCGACTTCTCCCTCCGCCATTTTTGCCTTAGCAAAGACCGGCCCTGCGGCGCGGCGGCTCAGCGTTCGCGTTCCGCGGGCCGCCCCCCCAAAGAGGCGGAGGTACGCGGCGCGCTCTTCCTCCGTCATCGGCGGCGGTCCGCTCGGGACAGCCACCGGCGTGCGGCTCGGCGGCACGGTTTGCGGCGGAGCCGTGTCGAGGGCGAGCGCGCCGAACGAGCTCGTCGCGGACGCGACGCCGGCTGAGCGGTAGGTTGGCGCCGCGGCGGGCTCCTGCGGGCGCAGCAGCGGGCGCGGAGTTGGGGAGAGGAGGGCGCGAACAAGGTGCACTGCCGCAAGACACGTGCGCCGAGGCGCCATCTCTTGTCGTCTTGTGGGAGGTTGTGTGGCAGTGCATCTAGAGCGAGGGCCTGCTCCTGCCTTGCTTCCTCCGCCCCCCCTTCTCTGGGCGGCGACGACTCGCCCCACCGATCCACGCATTGGAGGTCCCAGGACTGGTGAGAATTGTGCATGTCATCGAGTTCTCCGTCATCAGCGTCATCCTTAAACCTGCTGCCCTTCTTGCGCGAAACGCTCAGGCGCGACTTCGGCTTTCCACGCACGCCGTCGTCTCTGTCGGCACGGTACTCTGCCGGCAAGGCAACCTGATTCGAGGGAGCTTTCCGCGAGCTGGATCGCCGCATGTGGAAAGCAGGCGCCGACGGTGTCGCTGAGGTGTGCTCCGTCCGTGTGGGTTTGTTGCCCCCTTGAGATAAAGAATTTTGCGGGCCGCACTAGGAATAGGGAGTCCACCGTGCCGCGAACCTGTCGCTGTCCCTTTTGTCAGTAGCAGGAGAACTAGGAGAGCGCAACCAGTAGGAGGCCCGCGCCTGCCCCCGTGCCGCCGGGTGCAACTTTGTCCTATACGCGAGAGGGGAACAAAACGTGCACGGCGACAAGGAGAAACCAGAGCTCACCCGGCAGTACAACGAGGGGTACAAGGTCGACCTCGCGGAACCCCACGCTGGCCCGGGAGGATGCGATGAGGTGAATGAAGTCAAGCGGACGCCCCTCCTCAAGACCTCCTCGGCGGGCGTTGGCAACGCCTCGAGTGGCGGCACGCCCGCCTCCGTTGGCCACTCCTACGCCTTCGGCAACACCGAAGAGAAGGCCCGCCGCCTAAACATGGGCTGCGAGGCGCGCGGGCAGCCCGGCCAACCCTTCTCCCACAAGAACGGCCACGGCTACGTCAAGGCGCGCATCGCGGTTTCTACCACGACGCGATCTTTGTCAAGCGCAACAACTTCAACCTGCTGCTCCACGAGACGTTCGGCGGCGGCTTCTCGCTCACCGCCGTTCTCAAGCTGCGCCGCCTCGCGCGCAAAGTCGCGCGCGGCAGCGTCGACCCCGCACGGCCTACTCGCCCAAGTACTCGCTCTCTTTTATGTCCCATCATGCAGAGCGCATCTCTCTCTCTGTTGTGCGAGGCGTGAACCGCGCCATTCGCTCTCACCTGGCAACCCTGTCTGCACGTCTCGCGCGCGCGTGAACAGGGCTCCAAATGACGTGTGAGTGTTAGAGTTGTTTGGTATTGCTAAAAATCTCTCTCGAGAGGGGAATCCCTGGGACCCTGTCGTGTGGGTGAACCCTGCCCAGCCCCCCTCCGTGTCGCGATGCGCTCCCCGCTCCCGTTCCCCTGTGTCCCTGATCGTCCTTACAAGATCCTGCTCGCGCAGGTGGGGACCCTGTCCTTCTCCCACCCCTTGTTTGGTGTGTCCGTTTTATTTATTTATTTATGGGACTGGCGCGCACTGGCACTGTGAGATAAAGAAAGGCCGGGTTCGCCCAGCGCGGCCACGGCGGTGGCCTGGCGGTACGCCTTCGGTCCCCGCGGGAAGCCCCGCGCATAGGACAACAACGTCTGACTGTCCCACATACGCACAGACGCGCACATACACCATGCTCGGGCACCCACCCCCCACAGTGTAGTGGTGTGAGCACACAAGTACTATAGCAGAGTGCACATCTCTCTTTTGGCGGGTGAGGGTCGTAAGAATCAAAGCCTCTTTTGTCCGGGGTGCCAAACGTGCTCAAGCGCGATCGTCTCTCTCTTTCTCTCAGCGCGGCCACAGTATAGAAGAATTTCGGTGCGCTAATTCTACCAGAAAACTCGCTCGCTCGCACAACACTGGGCACAGGACTGCACGCACTTCGTGGCCGCGTCGGCCAGTAGCCCAGGTACGTTGTTGCACGAGGTAAGCTTCCTGGGCAAGTCGGAGCACTCTCCAGCAACCCCCTGCCCACCAGGGTTGCCGCAGAAGTTGCTCACCGGGTCATGCGGGTGGTGGACCCACCGGGACGCCTGCCTGCAACCGTATCCTTCGGTGCGTGTGACGGGAAGCCAAAACTCGCCCAGCCCGTGCGCCTTGACGACTAGTTTGACGAGCAACACCTCTGTCCACGGGCCGCACGGGGTCCACGCAGCTGGCCTAACGTTAGCTACTGTTGTTGGGGAGCCCCACTGTTGTTCTACTGTTACTGTTAACACTAGCAACACTGTTCAGCTCCCAACGTTTGAACAGCTCTACCACGGGGTCTGTCCACACATACGCATCAGCCATCACTGGACACTGCGGCGTTGGGCCGTTGGCACACCATCCCAAAACCCAAATCCGTACTTGACATTGTCCAGACCGGCGAACGGGCCAATCTCTAGGCTCTGCCCGAACTTCCTCTTCTTCCTCAAGCCGCATTCGTTATAATGGCAATGAGATAAAGCTCTCCTCTCCCGCTCGGGCCCTCGCTGCGCGTCGTGCGTCTCTCTCCACATCGGGCTCCTGCCCGTGTCGGGTGTGGAGATGCGAGGGTCGCCCCCCCTTGCCCCACCACTTTGTGTGTGTGGAGAAATTTACCTTACCTTACCTTACATCTCCACACCTTCTCCTTTAGAGAGAGATTTTCAAAGACCAACAAGAAATCACGACTCTCACAGTGATTTGGGCTCGGCAGCTTGTCAGCCCTCAGCCGAAGCTGGGGCCGGTCCCGTAGCCGAGAGAGCCCGCGCCGATGAGTTCGACGCGGTCGGGAGGCCTTGCGGAGAGGCCAGCGAGGTGGCGATCGCTGTACTTCATGGTGCCCTCGGTGGGGCGGCTGACAAGCCAGAGGTCGATACTCTGGACGACCCATAGGATGCCACGAATGCCTGAAGGAGAGGGAGGCGAGGCCAGAGGCAGGCTCAGCTGCTCTCGGGTGATCCCGCTTTGGTGGCTGAAGGGCCCGATGGTCCTGTCACATTCGTGTTCCGAGTCGTGGGGGTAGAAGAATTCGAGTAGAAATCGAGTCAGCACATCCTTGTAGTACAGCGGACCGCCAGGCTCGCCGGCAGCATCCGCAGGGAGGCACCAGTCTTCTGCGAAGAGCTCAACAGCTGCGGCCGCGATGGTAGAGTCGGCCGCGGTTCGAGCGAGCAGCTTTTGGCTGCGGGATCGAATCGCGGAAGGCGCATGCCCTCGCGGAGCGCGCGGGTGTGCGAAATGCGACAAAAGACGAAAGACGACAGGCGCCTGAGCGCTGTACGCCTGAACTTTTGTCGCCGCAATCGCCACCGCCGCCATCTTGACGAGCAGCGCGAGCGCGCTCGTCGGCGGCCAGCCGTCGCGGGCCGGGCCGAGCCCGGCCTCAACCGGCCGCGCCGCCGCAGCAGGCCCGGAGGCCCACATGGCGGCCGACCAGCTGTCTCTGCTGGCTCTCTCTCTCCTTTACACGTCTCTCCGCACACTCGCGAGACTCGGAGAGTACTCCTCGTCATCCCTCGCCACTCCATCATCTCCTTTGCCACAGAGCCAGTCGGTTGGTCCGATCGGTCGAAGGGTGTCGCTCATAAGAGCCAGCGCATAAGAGCCAGTGTCTCAGTGCATGTTTCATAAGAGCGGTCAGCCGGGAATACACGAAAAGCACACCAAAAAACTTCCTGTGCAGCGGCGCAGCCACGGGGTCAGGCGTGCGCGCTGGTCGTCGCTCTCTTGACTCTTCGCTCTCAAGTGAGCCATGGTCGGCTCGGCTGTCTCGGCGCGGCTACGCGCGCCCCCAGCAGAGATATGTGTTTGTTGTCTGTCTGTGTCGTGTCAGCCGTCATCCGACACACACGTAGCACGCGTGCCCAACAGGCCATCCATCGGCGCCGTCACGCGTCCATCGCAATGTTCGATTCACTCTGCGCCTCGTCCTCCTCCTCCGACCCCTCCTCCTCGAGCGATCCGAGGGAGGCGAGTGTCGACCTGCGAGGCGACGCGCGAGGGGAGAGCACGTCCGGCGTTGGGAACGTTAGCTCCATCGCGGCAGAGGAAACGGCCTCGCTCCCGACCAGATCATACAGCTGTCGCAGCGCCTCACCCGGCGGCACCTTCCCGTTGCTCAGGCTGGCGTTGAGCTTTCGGAGCCGCCGGTCGGACGTGGTGAGAGCGCACTGGAAGATTAGCTCGCCGCAGCTCACGAGAACTGTCCGCCGTGCTTCCATCGAACTGTCAAACAGCGACGCACACAGTTCGTCAACGAGGGGCTCCTGCTTCTCCGTCGCCACAGGCCCAATAACAGCCTCCTCGTTTGACACCATCGAGGCGCCTCGTTGGATGGAGCGCTCAACGGCCTCTCGATGGTCGACCCGGGACAGATTTTTTTCTTTTTTATGCTTATCACAGAGCCTGCAACTGAGGGCGAGGGCCAGCAGTATACGACGACGACGACGTCTCACACCCCGCGCTAGCCAGCGCCATCAGCCCCTCACGGCCCGGCCCAACCTCCCTTCGCCTCGCCTCCAGTGCCTCCAATCAAGTCGCACCTCTCTTCTTACACAGCGAACATTGATTGAAGGGAACATATCAATCTTACTCTCAAGTCTCATCAATGTACGGTGACGAGACAATGACTCGCGTGCGCGCAGCACACACCCGCCGGCTACCTTCCCATCAATCAATAAGACGAACGCCGAGAGGGACGACTGGCGCTTTGTCGCGGCCGCCGAGGACCAGGCCCTCTTCTGGTTCTTGCTCTTCATCCGGCACGACCTCGGCGTACTTCCATCCCGACGCCGTGTATACTGGGGCACCGTCGCATGTTTTCTCTTTGCCTGTGTTAGTGCCAGTGCGAGCCACTCCCGTGCCCATGTTGTGCGACCAGTGCGAGGTTGTCGTAAAATTCTCTTTGCACACCCCCTCCCCAACGCCCCCGGGGGGGGGAGAGGACAGCTGTCGGACTCCTGCTGGGCGACTCTGCTTGCTCGGCTCTTCCCGCGCCAAAGCAGCTGCCCAGGAGCGAGCTGTGGAAGCGGCTGCGGCAATAGCAGAGCGGAAGCGGGGGCACCGGCATGGTGGCGGCTCTGTTCCTTACGTCGCTGCGCGACAACGGCCGCCTCGCCGCCCGCTTCTGCTCGGCGCCGGTGCTTCGGCTGCCCGTGCTCCTGCTATGGGTTGCCGTCTTCGGAGGCTCACTTCACGCGCCGTGCACGACCTTCTTTTACCTCTCAGTCGGCGCGAGCCAGGAGCAGGTGGGTAACATAAGCGCAATCATCAGCGTGGTGAGCATGTTGACGGTGCCGCTGTATGGTCACTTTATCGATGCCACTGCCGGCGCGCTCGAGGCAGTCGCGGCCGCCGGGTTCTGCTGTGCGCTGGGCTGCGCCGTGCGGGCCGCCGCGCTGAGCGTGGCGTGGCTCTACGCGGGATCGCTCGTGCTCGGCTTCGGAGCCGCCTCGTTGCTGCCCTCGGTGCTGTCCCACCTCTCCTCGCACTGCGCGCCCGACGAGAAACGCAAAGTCGTGGCCGCTGTCGCATTCCAGACGTCGCTGCTCCGGCTGGACGGCCAGTCTAGACGCTGCAAGATGCTGAATCAGTACTTTGACCGCTGTAGTCTCTCCCGTCTCTGCCACGATCCCGAATGCACGCGAGGGACTGTGTATCACGGCGGGCCTCCGCTGACCGCGATGTTGCTCGGTGCTGGCCACGCAGGTTGGCAAGAGCCTCTACCCGCCCACCGTCGCGGTCCTCGCCGCCGCCGGTGCCTCTCTCGAGTTGCAGTACCGGGTGATGATGGGCGTCTGCCCTTTCTTTTGCGTCGCCGGCTGGGTCGCTCTCTCGCTCCGACGCAAGAGGAGCGCGCTGGCGCCGGTGCCGCCACCGCCGACGCCGACGTCGCTCGCGCCCGCGCCCGAGCTGGCTCCGCCGCTCAAGCAGGAGGTGGGGGCGGCCAAGGGCGGCCAGAGCGGCGGCGCCTCCTGGCCTCCCGTCTTTGTCGCCACCGCCGCCGCCATCGCCGCCACTGCCGCGGCGAGGCAGAGTGGCGCTGTGCTGTGGCCGCTGTACCTCCGCGATGGGTTCGAGTGGGGCGCCGCGCAGTTTGCGGGAGCCCTGCTCGCCGAGAACCTCGCCTCGATTGGCGCCCTCTTCTTCCTGCCGCGTGTCGCGCAGCACTACGGTGCCGCTGCCGTCGCCGTCGGTGGGCTTGCGAGCGCCGCCGCGTGCGCCGCCCTCGCCTTCCGCCTCCGCTCGCCGCCGATGCACGTCGCTTGTATGGCGCGTTTTGCGGGGCGTCCCGCCCGCACCGCGTATACCCGCCCCACTCGCTTGGCGCGGCTCGTCAGGTGTGCCTCCTCTCCGGCCTGTCGCTCCTCGATGCGCACTTGCGCGCCCTTGGTGCCCTCTCCGCGCCGCCGTCGCTGCAGGGCGAGCCTTCGCTGAGAGAGGCGCCCGGTCCTCGCTCTGCCGAGGCATCCTTGACCGTGGGCCGGGTCCTCACAGGTCGCGCCTTTGCCTACCTCGGCGTGCTCTCCTCCCTCGGCACCGCAGTCGGCTCGCTCGCAACCCACCTCTATGCCGCGCACGCGACCGCTGCGCTCCTCCCAGCCGCGGTCGCGCTAGCCTCCAGCGCGCTTTTGCTGCTGCCCTTTCAGGGCGCGCTAGCGCCCGCCCCCGGTGTCGCCGCCGACGGGAAGGAGCGTTGCGAGGCCGAGTGGCCGGAGGAGGGCGGCGGCGTGGACGAGAGGGCGGCACTGCTGCGCACAAAGGCCACGGTCAGAGTTTTCACAGAGTAAGTGGGCGTGCCGGTGTAGAGCCGTGCCAGTCATCACTCCTCACGATCTAACCCGGTCTAACCGAGAGGGCAGATTGGAGAGATCTCGAGGAGTACACACAGAGATAGACCCTCCATCCATAAGAAAACTCTAACCTGATCGGTCGTACTGACCGCCGACAGATCACTCCAGACAGCAGACAGGCCGACGTCTGCACGCGGCCGGCCGGGCGAGAGGCTTGACACGATTGCATGCAGCATGGCCCGGCATGCGCCGGAATTCCCACAAAACTAGTAAAAAATCGCGGCAAAAAAATCTGAAAAATCGGGGCGCCTGCGGCGGGCCATGGGACCCCCCCGCATGGGTACCCTCTAGGGCCCCCGCGCCCCCCCAGAGCGCCGAGCAACAGCAGCACGTGTCCACGCATGCACGTCGTTCTGAAAGCGCTGCCGCGCCTCAGAGTGGAGCAGCCGGTCCGCGGCCGTAAACGACTGCACTTGTGAGGTCGTGTTTTCATCCAAGATGGGCTTCTTCCCCCGAGATGCAGTGTGGTTGACCCGGGGAAGAGCGTCTCCACCACCCATGGCCATGCATGCGTCAAATTCTTCCAGCTGAAGTCGGGCACGCACGAGACAGAGGAGGCCAGGCGCCTCTTCTAGCACTCCCACAAACAACGCTTCGCGGACACGCCGCTTCGCAAGCTCAAGGAAGCCGTCCCTCGTGCCATCCATCGCCAACGATGGGTCGAAATCGCGATCTGTGGCGCGACTACCGCCTAGGAGTCGAGTTTGCCTGTTGCGTGGATCAAAGCCACAGTAGCGTTTCGCTGAGGTCACCGCCTGCGAGGGCAGAGACACCGGGCCCGAGAAAACACCCACCCAGCGCTGGAACGAGATGTTTCTGTAGCGGTGAAGCTGAGACCCTCGACCATGTTGGCAATGCTCCCACATGGAGATGACAATGGCAAGTGGTTCCCGCAACAGCAGGATATGGCTGATTTGTTGCTGCTGGCGATGCCAAAGCAACTCGATCCGGGGCTGCTGGCTCGCTATGCTGCCTTCGGTGAACACAATATTGCACGTTGAGTTGGCCGTGGATGGCACGCGTCTGCTCTCCAACGTTGAGGTGAATGGGTGATTGCACGGCTGCACCGGGCAGAGAGTTCGCTGCGACCGGCCAGAGAGGCTGCAGAGGGTGGTGAGAGCCCTCCCGAACGAAGATCCGCCCGCCTTTGATATGTGGACAAAGTAGAACATCTGGTGCGGCGGGCTAGCGGAAGGGCATGGCGGCGATGTCGTTGTTGGTGAGGGCCCTGGACTAGTGACCAGCACTCCGGCGGCGAGACACATGCTGACGAGGCACACACTCGCGCTCAACCCAGCCGCTGCTGCTGAGCCTCTGCCAGATCGAAGCGGGGCTGGAAGTTGTCGCGCGCACTGCGCATTGGCGCCGCAGGCTTGGGCCTTGGCCGGTGCGGCCTTGGCCGGTGCGCGGTGGCGCCGGCGGGCGCTGCGTGGCGTTATTTTTCTAAATCAGTGTGTATACACGGGGGGCTCTAATGAAAGTGGCGCTGCCATTATTACAGCGCTCTCAGCTGTCTATCGACTATACACGCGGTCTAGAAATGGCTCGAGGTGTGTGGCGGTTGCGGAAGAATGCAAAAATCGCGTTTGGAACGAAATTGCGATTTGTGTCTCTGAGATGGCGTCGATAATACATAATCCTCTCATCGCGAGCGAGCCCCAAACAAATTGGTCTCCAAGCGCGTGCTGTGTCTCGGTCGTCTAGTACGGTAGCGAGCGCGCGCCACAGTTCTACGCCCGCGCGCCGACACGCGTGTGTGCTCTCCCACTCTCTACCAACCCCGGTGAGATCTGAGTGGGGGCCCGTCTCGCCCACCTCATCATCAGACACGCAAATACTCGAGACGCCCGCGCCGAGGGGGCGGGCAGCCCTCCCGCGCACCCGCCTACCCAGGCGCCCGCCCACCTCTCGCATGCAAAACGTCGCGCAGCCGCTGTCTCTCGACCGAGGGGGCGCGCACACCGACTCACAGCGCCTTGCGGGTAGCGACGGCCTTCTTGGCCTTGGCCTTCGCGATGTTGTCCATGTAGAAGAAGTGGCAGAACAGCAGAAAGACGGAGCCGACGTAAGCATAGTTAAAGACCCAGCTGAAGACCTGCGGCCGGCGGTGAGGGGACTCCTTCGCGGTGGGTGCGGCGGCGGAGGCCGTCGGCGGCGCTCTTGGCTCTGGAGGGTCCGCAGGCGGACCTGCCCGGCGTCGGCGTGGAAGCACGGCACGTTGATGTAGTCCCACACTAGGACAAAGCCGCCGACGAACTGGCTTATTTGCATCGCGGTGATGATCGGCTTGCCGCGGATCTTGTAGCCCGCGGCGGTGAGGCCGTAGTACGTGTACATGACCGTGTGGATGAACGAGTTGAAGAACCTGGGGAGGGGTCGGGGGGGGGGGCCGACTCAGTGCACGCCCGGCCGATATCGCGGTGGTGGCATCAGGAGGGAGAGTCGGGCGGGTCGACTGGAGGCGGGCTGGGAGGAGGCGGGCACATGAAGATCCACACGCCCTCGTTCTTCAGCCGAATGCCCAGGTACACGTCCCACGGCGCGCCAAAGTGGTGGAAGCCCTGCAGGAAGGAGACCTGCGGCGCCGGTGGCGGCGGAACGAGGCCGAGAGAGGGCTCAGAGCGACGTCTTGTCGCGGGGGGAGGGGCACTCTGAGAGGGGAGGCCTTCTTCCCCTTGAGGACGAGCCACGCCGTGTCGAGGTACTCCACGTACTTTGAGTAGTAGAAGGCCTTGGCCGTCCACAGGAACAGCTTGGAGTCCCATACCCTCGACGGGCATTGCCACAGCTGCTGCGGGCTGTCGCCCGTGAGACTGCGGAGCCACTCGCCGGTGCCCTTGTCCCACCCGAGCGCGGTCGCAGTCACGTAGAAGCTCGTCGCGGAGAAGAGCGCGAGCACCACGTTGTACCTGAACAGCAGGGGCGGCGGAGGAGGAGCGAGTCGGCAGACCGGCCTCGGCAAATGCAGCGGGAGACGATGGCGGAGCACGCTGCCGCCGGCTGCGGACGGATCGCAGGGCACACGACCGGGGCGACACGTTTCTGCGGACTCGCAGCAACATGGGTGCTGCGGCGCTCACCAGATCATCGAGGTCCGGTAGGCGCCTTTCCGCTCGTCCACGAGCCCTGAGTTGCGTAGCAGCGGCTTGAGCAGCAGGTAGGAGAAAGTGCCGATCAGGATTTCCGGATCGGACACCGCAGACCAGATGGCCGCGTCGGACGAGGCGCGATCGAGCATCGGGGTACGCGACGCCGATGCCAGACGACGCGAAGTGGAACCTTCGATTCAGCGCGCGACGCGATTTCTTCTTTTGCGAACGGTGGATTGAGAAGAAAATAGCTGTGCGCTGCTCTGTGAGAGTTCACAGTGACACATCAGACGACACACATTCTCCCACCCGCGACCCGCCGGGCCGCCAAAACGCTCTCGACGAGAGCCACAAGAAGCCGTCCGCACAGCAAGCCGGTGGAAGCCGAGCGCGCGGAATCGACGATGGCGTGCCGCGGCCCGGCCGTGGGCCCGGGCGAAGGTCCTGGCTCGAAAACGCGAGCAGAGGCCGCCGTGTGGGGCCACAGCGAGCCTTGGCGAGAAAGGTCAGCACCCTATCTCACGCGGTCGGTTGGGTAGACAGCATCGCCCACAACCCCGACTTCGCCCTCGACGAGGGAGGTGCGTCCAAGTACCCCGCCATCGCCGCAGCTATCGCCACCTACGAGTCCGCCCTCTCGGACTGGAAGGAGGTGTGCGAGAAGCGCACCGCCCGCGACAAAAACAAGTACCACACCGTCCGCGGCGGCTACCTGACTGAGTTCTACCCCAAGAGCGTCCCGCTCCCCGAGCCCGAGTCCCTTCCAGCTACCGACGCGATTCTCAATGGCACTTGCAAATCCACGTACCCGCGGCCGCGGGCGCTCGCTGCCATCAAGCACTGTGTGCTCTTACTAAGTGCCTGAAAAAACAACCAATTCATTTCCGGCCCCCCACGCGCCTGTGCACACGTCCGCAAGCACGGGGACCCGTCCAGGACACATAGGGGGGCACTTGGGGTCACCCTAGAGCCTCTAGGAACACTACAGTACACCTAAACCACCATGCCTCTACCTCTGCAGCGCGGCTGCTGCGCCGCGTCTCACGCTCCCTCCGTCCCCGCCGCCGCCTCCGCCCCTTCACGAGCCGCAACCGCCTCGTCGTACGCGGCGTGCAGCTCCTCGACGGCTCGGTCCGCGCTCGCGTACTTGAGCTCCGCCTTGATGCGCATCGTCTCGCGCCCCGCCGCCGTCTTGACCTTCTCGCGCAGCCCCTGTGCGGCCGAGCGCCGCCTCAGCCGCTCGGCGTCGATGGACTCGCGGATGAGCTGCAGCCCCATCGACTGGTGTGCAATGCCGTGCGAGTTCTCGCGCTGGTACTCGCGCTCGCCGTAGCCGATGGTGGCCGCCTCGCCCGTCTCCTTCCAACCCTGGATGTGCTGCCCGTCGGCGCGCCCATCCGGCATGCGCGCCGAGTGGAGGTGGTCCTGCACCGCCTTGAAGGTGCCCAGGCTCATGTGGACCCACCCCGTACGCACGAGCCCAGGCTCCTTCGCCTTTTCGATCGCGGCGCGCAGGTAGTCGGCCAGCGTGAAGACAAACGGCCGCACTTCGACCGAGACAACCACGCCGAAGGACAGGTGCTCGGCGCGCGAGGTGTGGCAGCTGCCACAGATGACCTTGCTGGCCAGCAGCGCCGTGCTGCACTGCGAGCAGTTGACGCATTGGCCCTCCCCGTCTGTTCGGGCGGCGCGAGCGAGCAGGGTGAGCGGTGGGGCTCGCGGGGGGGCGGGGGAGGGGGCTGCTCGAGGGGCGAGCGAGCAGTACCGTGGGGCGCCGAGGGGAGGGTCACTGTCGGTGGCGCAATGGCCAGATCCTCCCGCCATCATGCGAGGGCGTTGTGCTCGAGGTGTGGGCCCGGGACCCGGGTCGCAAACAGTGGGTCACCGGACTCGTTCTCCCTACGACTAGCTCTCAAGTCGAATACGCACCGCTCGACGCTCGCTGCTTCCGCTTGGCCATACGAGGGCGGCCTGAGGGTGGGGGGCGGGTCGGGGCTGTGGCGACAACGCCCAAGCGTTGCGCCGCTCGCGCCCGGGCCGTGTGGCGGGCGGCGGGGGCGCGGGGGCGCGGGCAAGTGGGGGGCGCAAACGGGGCGCGCGTTGCAGTTTTTGACAGAGATAGCCCAAAAATAACCCGCGACTTAAAGCACACAGTGAATCACAAGGACTGGTACGCGCACCAGGAGCTCGTCAAGGCGCGGGATGTGCACGTCAAGAACAACCCGTCCCTCGGAGACAGCGCCGTCAACAACCGCGAAGCCGCGCGCTTCGTCTCCGCCTCAACGCCTTTCGCCGGCAAGGCCTTCGATGTCCGTGTCGACGGTACGTACGCCACCGCCCTCTCCTCCGACACCCTCCAGGACGAGCTCCAGCGGAAGCTCGGCCTTTGGCTCTCCGCGGCGCTTCCCACCCTTCGGGTCGCGCTCGAGCGGGGCATGCCAGTCGATTTCTTCGGCGACTACCTTTACCACAAGGCCCACCACCGGCGGCCCCACGACGGCGTCCTCGCCGCCTGGGCGGACGCGATGCGCGCCCCGGCCAACGCGCCGGTCGTGCACGGCGACAAGGAGAAACCAGAGCTCACCCGGCAGTACAACGAGGGGTACAAGACTGACCTCGCAGAACCCCATGCGGGACCGGGGGGGTGCGATGAAGTGAATGAAATCATGCTCTGGACGCCCCTCCTCAAGACCTCCTCGCCGGGCGTTGGCAACGCCTCGAGTGGCGGCACGCCCGCCTCCGTTGGCCACTCCTACGCCTTCGGCAACACCGAAGAGAAGGCCCGCCGCCTAAACATGGGCTGCAAGGCGCGCGGGCAGCCCGGCCAACCCTTCTCCCACAAGACCGGCCACGGCTACGTCAAGGCGCATCGCGGTTTCTACCACGACGCGATCTTTGTCAAGCGCAACAACTTCAACCTACTGCTCCACGAGACGTTCGGCGGCGGCTTCTCGCCCACCGCCGTTCTCAAGCTGCGCCGCCTCGCGCGCAAAGTCGCGCGCGGCAGCGTTGACCGCACAGCCTACTCGCCCAAGTACTCTCTCTCTTTTATGTCCCACCATGCAGAGCGCATCTCTCTCTCTGTTGTGCGAGGCGTGAACCGCGCCATTCGCTCTCACCTGGCAACCCTGTCTGCACGTCTCGCGCGCGCGTGAACAGGGCTCCAGGCCCCAAATGACGTGTGAGTGTTAGAGTTGTTTGGTATTGCTAAAAATCACTCTCCCTCTCCCAAAGGCAAAGCACTTGGAGCACTTGGAGTGCATGCAGTTCCAAAGTGGCGAAAAGTCGCACTCTCCCCTGAGTGCACTCTCCACTGAGTGCTTTTAGTTTTACGCTCTTTTGATCGGGGCGGGTAGGTGGTGGCGGGACGGCGCAGTGTTTGTGGCACTCGGCAGTAGGCACCCGCGGCACGGCCCCGCACCCCCGCTGTAGGCTCTCGCGGGCTGCGGAACCGGCCCCAGAAGGGGGGACGGTCCGGGCGAGTGTGGCAGCTCCTGAGCTAGTATGGGCACCCTCTATCATAGCACTACTGATCCTGGTCATTAGAGCTGCCAGGGATAGCGTCAGGAGCCGGTAGGAGTCAAAACCCTTCATATTTGAGAGACATCGTGTCCCATACGGCTCTATACATACGCTCGCACACAACGACGAGCCTCGCCGACCCCGCGCTCCCCGGGTTCCGCGGTCCTTCGAGTCACGTCATCGTCGCTGTCGCGAAAAGAGCGACACAGACAGCGACTGCGACCCCACCAATGGGCAGTTTTGTAAGAAAGCACACCTACTCTACTCCAAGGCGGCCTCCCTCTCCCTCCCCTCCCACCGGGCCTCCCTCTCCCTCTCCTCCCACCGGGCCTCCCTCTCCCCCTCCTCCCGCCAAGCACCGACAGTCTCGAGGGGCCAGCCGCTGGAAGGGGCAAGCCAGCGGCACGAGGGCTTCAGCCACACAACTACCATGGGAACGCGACCCACACAAAGCACCAAAGTTAGGCATACCCCCCGGCGCAGTGTCCCCCGCTATGTGTCGCCGTTCGTCGGGGCACGCAATCCTGTGCAGTCAGGGCAAGTGGGGGCGGGGTGGAGTGCCCAGCGTCTTTACCCTGGGACCTCTCTGCCCAGTCCGGGGGTGCGTCGAACCTTCCATCACCCTGTCGGAAGCGGCGTGCCGGTGGAGGCACGTCCGGGTTTTGGAAGTAAAGATATATTACTTTCATACGGAGTAGAGAAAATCGACAACCGTTTTTGGTCCAAGGTTCCGCACCGGCGCCCCTGCGGCGTTCAGCTCCTCAGCGGCTTGAGGCCGAGCTGCTCCCGCATCGCGTTTGTCTCGTCCACCGACATGCTCTCCTCGCCCATCCGCTTCCGCTCCGCCGGCGCCGCGCCTCCACCCGCCGGCTCGGCCGGCGCCTCAGCCTGCGGCGCCTGCTTGAAGAGCCCCGCGCCGCGCTCCTTCTTGCGCTTCTTCTTGCGCTCGCCGCCGCCACCGCTCATCATCCTGTCGAAGGCTGCCGCGCTGCCGCCGCCGCCGCCCTCCACCGCGTCCGCGCCGCCCCCCCTGCGCGGTGGCGGCGGCGGCGGCGGCGCAAAGTGCTCGCGGCCCGAGCGTTTGTCTGCGTCGCGGTCCCTGCGTCCCGCAGCCTCGTCCGCGTCGCGCTGCCGCTTGCGCTCCTCCCACTCCGCCTTCTTCCGCGCCTGAGGGGGAGGTGGAGCGCGGTTGCGCGTGTGCGTGCGTGCGCGTGCGTGCGTGCGTGCGTGCGCGTGCGTGCGTGCGCGTGCGTGCGTGCGCGTGCGTGCGCGCGCGCCTCGAGCGCCAGCTCCGCCTGCGCGCCCGCCTTACGCCGGGACAGCACCTCCTCGATGTGCGATCGCCGCTTGGCGTTGGCGGCGCGCTCCTTGTCCCCGAGCAGCGAGGCGCGGACGGCCGCCTCCTCACGCTCCCCCGCGGTCGTCGCCGTGCCGCGCGCCTCCGCGAAGCGCTGCTCCTTCTCCGCCGCGTGCGCCTTGAGCTCCGCGTTCCGCTCCACGATCTCGCGCTTCCGCTGCTCCAGCTCCTTTTCGCTCAGCTTGCGCGCGACGTGGTCGGGGATCGCGTCCGGGTCCTTGGCCTGCTCCTCGCGGAAGTCGCGGCAGTGGTCGCACCGCACCGTGCGGCCGAGCAGCTTGGCGCCGTTGAAGTTGTCAACCGCAAGCACCGTCGAGCGCTGGTCCTCGTAGCAGATGAAGGCGAAGCCCTTGGGCTTGCCGGTCCCCTTGTCGCGGGGCATGTTGACGTCGACGATGTCGCCCCACTGCGCCATCACCGTCGCCACGTCGCCCTCGGAGAGCTCGTACGGCAGCCCGCCGACGTAGACGTACGCCGAGTCCGAGTACGTCGCGTGCCACGACTTGGAGACGTCCCAGCTGCCGGCGTCGCCGCGCGTGTTGCTCGCGAGCTGCGTCTCGACCTCGCGCCGGTTGATGCGCTCCACCTCCTTGACGCGGTTCATGGCGTCGAGGCGGGCAAGAGGCGGAGTCCGAAAGAATTTTACGCAGGAAAGTCGGCGCGCGTGTGGCAGAAGAGAACGACGCGACAGAGGAGGAAGTGACAAGGGAGAGAACGACGAGAGTGGGACAGCCGCGAGGTGGCATGAAGGTTGCAGCGAGAAGCGGCGAGAGACTGCGAAAAGAGATACGAGGAGGCAGACCCCCCAGGGTGGGCGACGGCTAGCGCATCACACCCTCCTCTCCTTAAAATCCCTGTGTGGTGGCGGCGTGCCGTCCTCCCATCCCTCCCTTGGGTTGTGTGTTTTCTTTCTTTCTTTCTGGGGATTTTTGTATAGCAGCTGCTGCCTCCACCACTGCGGGACGCGGCCACGATGGGTGTGCAGACCCCAGTTCCGGCGGACGCAGCGAGCGTCGGGACTCCATCCCAGCAGTACGCCTGCATATGCGGAGAAACCTTCCCCACCCGCCTCCGGCGCGACATCCACGTCCGTGCGGCGAGGGTAGGAGAGGCGCACGACATATCCCGCCGGAGGCGAGACAGACCACGCCTGGCATAGGCTGGCGAGGTACTTCCAGCCTGCTGTGGGAACAGCTGACGCAGTCTCGCCGAGGCTCGCCCCAGTCGCCCCCCCGGGCAAGGGGGGACCCGTGAGGCGTGGGAGTGCCCGCCAGGGTATAGGAGCTTTCACAACCCCCTTGGTCGAGGACAGGCGCGCCTCCTCCTCCGCGATGCTTGGCAGCGTGGCGGCATGACGCTGCGGCTTGTAGGAATCCTACGGTTCACAGCCTTGTTATTGAGAAGAAAATACCTCCTATGGCGCTGTGCGCTGGTCTGTGAGAGGTTGAGGTGCGAGCCCTGGCAAGGCCCTGTTCACAACCCAAGACGCCGCTCTGGGTTGCAGTGATCATGGCGGACGACGACGACAACACGCTGCTCTACGGCGACATGCCGCCCTCGGTCCTCCTCCAGTCCTCTGGCCAGGACGTCGTCGACGACATGGCCGCCGCGCCCGAGCCCGCGCAGGCGGAGGGGGCCGCCGCAGTGCAGCCTGCGCAGGAGGCCGCCGCAGCGCCAGAGTCTGGCGCAGACGCAGGCGCGCCGGGGCCGACTGCCGCGCACGAGAGCCAGTCAGCGGCACCGGCGATGTGCAACCTCGAGCCGCCGCCGGCCATGTGCGGCGGTGGCGGCGACGCCCTCTTCTCTGCGTGCGGCGGCGGCGGCGGCGGCAGCCTCGCGTGCGGCGGAGAGGGCGGCGGGTGCTTTGGCGGCGCGGAGGGCGGCGGCGGCGGATGCGCTGGCGGCGGCGGCGGCGGATGCCCTGGCGGCGGCGGCGGCTTTGGCGGCGGCAACGACGGCGCGGCGGACGTCGGCGTCGCCAACCCGCAGAAGCTCTTCCTGGGCGGGCTGCCGTGGGAGACGGGCGAGGAGGTCATCACCAACTACTTTGGGCAGTTCGGGCAGGTGCTCGACTGCATGGTCCTGCGCGACAACTCGACGGGCAAGTCGCGCGGCTTCGGCTTCGTCACCATGGCCACCGCCGACGTCGCCGCCAAGCTGCTCGAGATGAACCACGAGCTCGACGGCCGCACGCTCACCGTCCGCCGCGCGACGGCAAAGAACGCTCAGCCGCCGCAGGCGCAGCAGGCGCAGGGCCAAGGCTGCTGCGCCAGCGGCGGCGCGGGCGTGGGCGGCGTTGGCGGTGGCCAGTGCGCCTCGCCCGCGGGGCAGCACGCCAACGACGGCACCGAGAAGAAGATCTTCCTGGGCGGGCTCGATCGCTCCGTCTCGGAGATGATGATCCGCGCCGCGTGCGAGCAGCACGGGGTGGTGACGGACGTGCAGATGATGGCCAACACCGGCAACCCCAACGGCCGTGGCTTTGGCTTCGTCACCTTCACCGAGGCGGAGCCCGCGCAGCAGCTCATCGCCGCGGGCTCGCTCGACGTGGGCGGCCGCTCCGTCAACGTGTCCCGCGCGCAGCCAAAGGGCGGGCGCAACCGCGGCGCAGGCGGCGCGGGATGCCGCGGCGGCGGCGGCGGCGGCGGGTACGGCTGCGGCGGGTGCGCCGCCTCGTCGGTTGCGCGCACCAAAGGTGGCGGGCGCGCAGCGCTGACCCCTGCCCCCCCTGCCAGGTGCGGCGGCTTTGGCTGCGGCGGGATGATGATGAACAACGGCATGGGCTGCTTCGGGGCCGGAGGAAGCTGCCGCGGCATGCCGCCCATGAACGGCATGGCCGGGATGGGCGGTTGCGGCGGGATGGGCAACGCCATGGGCGGCATGGGTTGCGGCGGGATGGGCGGCTGCGGCGCGTCCACCCTCGCACACACGCACGCTTCTGCGCCCGTCTCGGTCTCACGAGCCCACCTGTTGTCGTCCAGGCGGGATGGGCTTGCCCATGGGCGGCATGGGCTGCGGCGGCATGGGCGGCTGCGGCGCCTCCAACCTCGCACGCACGCGCTCTTGTGCTCGGTTCGGCTCTCACGAGCCCGCCGTTCCCCTCAGGTGGCGGCATGAACGCGATGGCCGGCATGGGCGGCATGGGCGGCTGCGGCGCGATGGCCGGCGGCATGAACATGCTGAACGGCATGGGCGGCATGGGCGCTTGCAACATGGGCGGCAGCGCGAGCGGTGCTGACTCCGCCCCAATCGCCTTGCTTTGCGACTCACGTCCCGTCCCACGCATGCAGGCGGGATGGGCGGCTGCGGCGGGATGGGCGGCTGCGGTGGGATGGGCGGCTGCGGTGGGATGGGCGGGTTGGGCGGGATGGGCGCCTGCGGCGGCGGCATGAACATGATGAACGGCGGCTGCGGCGGCATGAACATGATGAACGCCGGCTGCGGCGGCAACGGTGGCGGCGGTTGCGGCGGCGGCGGTTGCGGTGGCGGCGGCGGACCAGACCGGACGCAGAGGACAAACTACCGCCAGGCACCGTACTGAGGGCAGGTCGAGCGCATGTTGACTGTCGTTGGCACAGGTCGTTCGTCGTACTTCGTCCCGTCTACTTCGTCGTTGATGCGGAGAGGTCTACCTCGTCGCGTGGCGTGCCATGGTGCCCTTGTACGAGTGGCAGTGCTTGGTTGTCACGTTGGGGAGCTCTTTGGCTGAGGTCTTGGTTTTTGGGGAGGGGGGGGGGGGGGGTGCAGGGTCGTAGGCTTGGATAGCTCCCGCGCCGCTGCCGTGCCGTTGCTTTTGTGGCTAGGCGCACGCTCCTGTCGTTGCTGCCGGACTCGGGCAGCGGTCGAATCTCTGATCCGCGCCGGCGGCCGCTCGTAGGTCCGGGGTGGTGAAGGCCGCGGCGCGGCGCACGGCAGTTCACCTCGCAGCACGCGCGACTGGTCTGTGTCGGCGGCGGCGCGGGGGCTTTGCTGGGAGATCGGGCGCACATGTAATCGTCGGCCACGCGTCATATTTCGCCACAGACACCGTTGCTAGAGCTACGGGAACACACGGAGACGACCGAGCTTTCTGTGGTATCGCGAGAGCGCGAGAGAGCCTATCAGCTATCTCTGACACTAGAGTCACTGGTATGCGACGAAGGCACATCTCTGTAAACAACGACCGCGGACCGGGCCGATTCGAGGATAAATCATCCTTTGGAGCTACATGAGAGGTTGAGACTGGTCAGCCTTAAAAGCGACTTGAACAGTTTTTTTGTCAGAGTCTCCAAGATATTGGACTTTCTATTCAGCCACGATTTTACAACTTTGGGGGCAAAATCGGTCGGCTCTCTGGCGACAATTCCTAGCCCACGAACTGCTGGGGGGTGCCCACCACATGCTAGGGGGGGGGTCCCGACCCCCCCCCAGAGGCTTCACCACATGCTAGGGGGGGGGGGGGCGTGCAGAAAAACGCGCCCCCCTCCCTGGAACCGATGTGCGCCTGCTCCCGCCGTCTCGGGCGCCTAAATCGCCGCCGTCCCCATCATGGGGCCTCGCTGCCCAAACCGGGCTGTTGCATCTGAATTAACTCTTCCAACCCACCCCCCTGGGTTCTATTCCGACGGGGCCCGGGGGCTCCCCCGTCCCCCGATGTTTTTGCTGCCCCCTGGGGGAGTTTTGCAGCGGGGGCCCTCGCCTCGCCCCCCCGGTTTTGCTGCCGCTGCATCGCTGCCGGCTCGTAATGTTTGTTTACGGTCATGGGGGGCTTCCATCGCTGTTTTTTTTTTTTCCGGGGGTAAGCTCCAACCTCCAACCTGCGGTGTGGGGAGGTGGCCCCCGGGGTTCCCCCCCCCCCCCCCCCCCCTTCTTCCCCGGCACTGACTCCGCTGAAGCCTGAACACTGCACACATCTCACATTGTGCTGCGAAGGTGTGCGAGATTCTCGCCATGTCCCTGGTGCGATTCTCGCCATGTCCCCTGAGGAGGAGCCAGGTGCGTGTGTCTAATCGTAGTGGGGGCCCTAGACCCCCTCTGTTTTCTGTTTTTCAAAACGCCCGCCCGCCCGCCACCCCGAGGCGGCTCGGCCCGAGGACCGCCGGCGGCCCCCCACTCACCGAGAGATCAAAAACGCTCGGCCCCGGGACCGCACATAAGCCTGGACCGACATGTGACAACAGATACCCAAGGGTCCTAGCCGCGCTTCTTGCCGCCGCCCTTGTTCCTCCGCCCCCCAGCGACGAGGCGCGCCGCCGTCTCTGCCGAGGCGCGCTTGTTCTTGCGGCCGAGCATCCGCGGGTTGAGCGGCAAGTACGCGTGCGGCTGCAGCGCGCCCGGCTTGGTCACGTCGCCCTTCGCGCCCTTGCGGCCAGCGTACTGGTCCCCAAAGTTGGCGCCAAAGGTGGCGCGCCCCTTGCCGGCGCCCCGCTGCTTGCGCTGACTCAGCGAGTAGCGCGACCGCGCGCCGCCCGCGGCCGCGCCGTCACCCGCGCCCTCCTCCATTTCGGCTCGGCTCGCGGGTGCCACCTGCTGCCGCACCGAGCCCGTCTGCTTCCGCTTCGCAACCTTGCCCAAACGCACAATCTCGTCCTCAGGGTCCACCTCCATCTCGTCCTCCTCTGCGGCCCCAACGGGCGTCCCCCCTCCCCCGGCGACGCGGATCTTGCCGTCCTCAAACGAGACGCCGTCGTCCGTGCCACTGCCGCCGCCGCCGCCGCCGCCGCCGCCCGCCGGGGCGGCGGCGGACTGCTCGCCGACCGGCTCGCGCCGCCGCTTGCGCTTGCGCTCGGCAGCGCCCGCCAGCGGCGCCGTCAGTAAGTCGACGGACGCCGCGCTCTCGGACTGGTCCGCAAACGTCTCGCGCAAACCGCCTGCGGCCGCGCCGCGGCCGTGGCCGTGGCCGCCCTCCTCCTCCTCCTGGTCGCCGTCCTCGAGGAGAGCCTCGTACTCGGCGTGGCGGCTGCGTGCGCCGCCACCGTCGAGATCGGCCGCCTCGGCCGCCTCGCGCTCCGCCTTGGCGGCGAGGCGCGCGTCAGTGTGCCGCCTCGCGCGCTCCTTTTGCTTGCGCATGTGCGTGAGCAACCGCTGGTGCTCCTCGGGCGTCACCTCGGTCATCACCTCGAGGCCGAAGCGCTTGACGAGCCGCTCCATCAGGTAGCGCACCTGGTACTTGAGGTGCGCATGCTTGTTGGAGCACCAGCCGAGCAGCGGCGGCACCAGCCGCGGCAGCAACGGCTGGACCGCTTCGCGCGGCAGCGCCGACAGCTGAACCTTGACCAGGACCACCGCGGCTCGCACCACCTCCTGCTCGCGGTGGCGGAGGAGCGGCAGCACCGCCTCGAAGAGGCGCAGCGCGACGGGCGCGAAGCGCGGCGAGGCGCGGTACTCGTACACGAGGCGCGACAGGGCGAGCAGCGACGCGGCCACCATGTGCGGCGTCTTGCCCGCGAGGCCGGCGCACACCGCCACCACCACCCCCTGCAGCGCCTCCTCCCTCCCAGCATCGCTCGGCCCGCCCGCCGCCTCGGCGCGCTCGGCGACGAGCAGCAGCGCGTCGAAGGCGGCGGCGCGCGACTTGACATTCGACTCCTTGGTTGCCAGCACCACCTCGCCCAGCATCGCCGGCATCGCGCTGCGCAGCTGCTCCGCAGACAGCCGGCTCACAAGCGCCTGGAGGCAGACGAGCCTCCGCCGCTTGCACGCGGTGTGGCACGTGGGCAGCGCCTCGTCAAAGGCGGCCGTGACGTCCGCCAGCCGCTCGGTGAGGAAGGACGGGTGGTGCTCGGCCAGCGTGCCGAGCGCCTTGTAGGCCTTCTTTTGCAGCAGCGGGCTGTTGTGCGACAGCAGCGGCCGCACCGCCCGCCAGAGGAGGGGCGCGTGCTCCGTGGGGGAGAGGGCGGGCGCGAGCGCGAGCAGCAGGTCGAGGAGCGAGCCCTGCTGCTCGAGCGAATCGGCCGCGGAGCCCGCGGCCGCCGTCTCGAGCAGCTTGCGCAGCACGTCGCGGAAAAAGTCGGAGAGGAGCGCCGGCGGCGCCGCGTGCGCGTACGCGCCGATCGCCTCGCAGATGGGCTCGCGCTTCTCCGCGGGCTCCGCCTGGTGCAGGTTGAAGAGCAGCGGCAGAAAATTCTTGGCGTACTTGCCGACGGCCTCGAGCGCCGCCGCGGCTGCCGCAGTTGGCCGCACCTTGACGCCGCCGCCGCCGCCGGCCGGCACGACCTCGCGCAGCGACCGCTGGTGCTGCACCATCGCCGAGAGCCCCTGGAGGACGGGCGGGCGCAGCTCGGGCCGCTCGTTGAGCACGGTGCCGAGCGTCTTGGCGAGCGCGGGGAAGGAGGACGCCACGTCGTCGGCACTCGCGCAGAAGCCGGGGAGCAGCGCCCAGACTTGCTCGTGCAGGTTGTGCAGGTTCTTCTGCTCGACCGTCCGCCCGTCGGCGCCGAGCGCCGCGGCGCGCTCGAGCAGCCACGCCTGGAGCGGGACGAAGTACGCCGCGAAGAAGTCGAGCGTCGCGCGAGCCACGTGGCCTCGCAGCACGGAGAGCAGCCACGAGGAGTCCTCGCCGCCGTCGCTCGTCGATACCTTGATCGGCAGCCGCTCGACAAAGGCGCGCGGCCCAACGGCGCGCGCCGCGAGCCCGAGTGAAGCCATCAGCGAGCCGCGCGCCTCGCCGAGCCGCTGGTCGTCGTACAGGTCGCGCATGCCCGTCAGCAGCGACTCGCAACCAGGGAGCGACGTCGGCCCGGCCGCCGCAAACAGCTCGCCGCAAGCCTCGAGCACCGTGCGCCAGAGGGGCAAGTAGCGCGGCGCCAGCGCGTCGCGCAGCGCGCCGCCGAGGGCGGCGGCGGTGGCGGCGGACTCCTGCCCGCCTTGCTGCAGCGCACCGCGCACCAGCACCGACAGAGCACACGGGTCGAGCGCATCGCCGCCCGCACCCCCGCCGCCGCCGCCGCCGCCACCGCCGCCGCCCTCTCCGTCTCCACCTTCCCTGCCGCCGCCCTTGCCGCCCTTGCCGCCGCCGCCCCTGCCGCCAACGCCCTTGCCGCCGCCCTTGCCGCCGCCCTTGCCGCCGCCCTTGCCGCCGCCCTTGCCCTCTCCGCGCCCCTTTGCTCCGCCCGCCGCTGGCGCCGAGAGTTCAGCGCGCAAGAGCGCCTCAGCGAGGGCGAGGGCGAGCGGCGCGAGGCGCGGCACCGCCGCCGCCAGTTCGGCCTCCGCGAGCGAGACGGCGGCGGCGAGAGCGGCGGACAGGGCGGGCGCCTCCAGCGCCGCCGCGGCCGCCGCGGCCTTGCCGGACTGAGCCGCCGCGGGTGCCGAAGCCACTGTGTGGAGCAGCGAATCGATGACGGCGGCAAGGACCGGCGGCGGCAACGCGCGGCCGTCGCCGTCGCCCTCCGCTGCGGCCTTGAGAAGGGCGACGGCGGAGCGCGAGAGCAAGGGGTGGCCCAGCTTGGGGAGGGCGAGGACGGAGGCCGCGAGCGTGGCGGTGTCGGCGGCGGCGAGGTGGCGCGCCGCGGTGTGCAGAAAGTGCAGGAGGTGCAGCACCGGCTGGACCTGCGGCAGAGGGACGGCGATGGGGCGCGGGCAGAGCAGCTCGGGGCGAGGCGGCTCCTGCCAGAGGAGGTGGAGCGGCGGGCCGCGGCGCGGGGCGCGCGCGCCTCTTGCAGCGACGGCGCCGCCATCCGCTCGCTCGCAAACGCAGCTGCGGCCCGCGAGAGAGTGGACCGCCGCGCGTGCGCGCCGCCGGCCGCGTCGTCCTCCTCCTCGGCAGCGGCGGCAGCCTCCTCGAGCACCTCAGCGCACGCGGCCTGCCCGCGCTGGCGCACCTTGGGGTGCGAGTGCGCCGTGAACGCGAGCAGCCACCGCCAGAGCTTGGCCGCGTCGGGCGCGCGGGGCGGCAGCGCGAGGAGGAGGCGCCGGACGCAGAGCAGCGCCGGACGTAGGACGGCGGGCGTGTCCACATTGGCGTTGGAGACGCCCACCACGATCTGGCCCATCCGCGCGCCCTTGGACGCGAGCAGCGCCGGGGGGACCGCGGCCAGCGTCCGCTCGAGCAGAGTGAGGATGGCGCCGGCGGCGGGCGACTGCGCTGGCGCCGCCTCGAGCGACATCATGAGCACGCCCATGTAGGCAACCTGGAGCAAGGCAGGCGGACGGCTGGCTGCGGTGCAGGGTGCGGTGCGAGCTGGGCGGCGGCATGAGGGGCGACGGGCGACCGGTGACGGCCCGAGCTGCTGAGAGGCGAGCGTCTCGTTGACGGCAGCGAGCACCGCATTCTCCTGCACGAATTTCACGCCCCCGCCCGAGTGGGCGGTGATGTCGTCGAAGAGGCTACTGCCACTGCCAGCGGCCATCATTCTCCGCAGGCGATCAGCGAGACCAGCGAGACGACGCGCGCTCCGGGCTCGTTGTCCACGTCGCAATGCCCGGCCCGGGCCGGCAATGCGCGAGAAAAACGGGCAGTATTTCGGTGTTATTATCCCCCCAAAACACGCAGCGCGCCCAGGGGCGCCGCAGGCGCCCCAAGCAGGCGGCGGACAGCAGGTGCGCGAAAAAAACCGTGTGCGAGGGACTCCCACGCCTCCCGGGGTCCCCCCTTGCCGGGGGCGAGCCTTGGCGAGCAGCGTTCAGCTGTTCCCACAGCAGGCTGGAAGTACCCCGCCAGCTTGCCTCCCGTCCTCCCCTCCCTCTTTTGGTTGTCTGTTTCCTTTTCTTTATTTCTTTTGCTGTGATGGTGCTAGCACGCGCCAGTCCGCACCTGTGTCGAGCCTGTCTGCTGTGAGAGAGAGTTGTTTTTGTTAAATTCTTTTTCAAGTTTGTGCGCCGCTGGGGTGCACTTCTAATTCCTATCCGAGATCGTGTCTTGCTTTGATGCTTTCAAGAAAGACAGAAAACGGACAGGGTACGCGGCCACTTGAGGCACACTGGCCTCAAAGCGAACGCACTGGGACCGGCCACTCGAGGCACTGCTTCAAAGCCTCAGCGGCGTCGCGGCCGCACCACTTCTTGGCCTGGGCGAGTGCGCCGTCAATGCCTGACGAAACGCCAGCACATGTGGTGATGGCTTCTGTCGATTGAACCACGCGGTTCTTAGAACTGGCGTCGGCGGAGAGCCAACGGACGTTTGGAAAGCCGTTCCGAAAGTCGTCCAGGAAGAGCGAGTTTGTGGTTGCATTTTTCCCGTCCAGGAGTCCGAGCTCCGCCACCACCTGCACTCCGATGCAGACAGTCATCACATCCTTTCCCTGCCGGTTGTGCGCCTTGAGATAATCCTTCGTCGTCTGGGTGTGCCCGTCTTTGTACTCGGTGCGCGCGCCTTCGTACTTGGAGGAGCTCAGCGCGCCGAACACGAGGAGATCGTAGCGCTTTGCTTCCGGATCTTCCTTCAGATCATACGTCGGTGTAATGGTCACGCCGCTTAGGGAGGTCACGGGCGTCAGCGAGTCGGCGACCATCTCCACCTCAACGTGCAACGGAGGTCCGCCGTCCGCGGAGCATTGGATCCCAGGCTGCAAGGCGGTGTCACTCCAGGTCTGGGACGCCAGGTTCACGTGAGCAAAGTATGTGTTCTCGATCTCCTTGAAGACCTCGAAGGGGCCGATCGCATCGAGCATCTCAAATCCGTTGGCAATCACCACTCCCACCCTCTTCGGAGCTGACGCCGTGCTCGCGAACGCAGCCACGCCAACGAGCGACCAGGACGCTACTGCAATCATGGCGCGAGCGGCTGATCGAGGTAGGCGACGAGACGAGCCAACCGCGAGCAAACCCTGGATCGGAGCGATGGACGAAGAATTCTTTTTCTTTTGGTGGGAGCTTTGCTATAAAATTTTTAGGTATACCCCACGGGATTCGCCTAAGCACGCTCATTGACGGAAGTGTTGAGAGTTTCCTGTTTCCTAGCACACCGTCATACAGAATATATGCAGTACGCACCCCCCCCCAGAACATCGACCAGAACATATGCCGTACACGGTACCCTGCCTGCGAGCTGCGTGCCTGCAAGGGGCACCCAGAGTGCCAGACATGATAAAAACGTACCTCCCCCCTTCCCCTCCAGTTCCTCTCTCTCCCCACGCGCGCTCGACCCGGGCAAGAGGAGCGAGCTGCAGTGGTGGCTCCAGCATGCATCAGTGCCCCGCCCACTGCGTCTGCGTCAGATTGTCAGACTCCGTCTCGAGCTGGCCAAGGGAGGGGCCCTGCTTGATGACGATGCGCAGCGGCACCTTGAGCATGGCCGCGTCGTGCACCATCGCCTTGGTCACGGCGTCGCGCAGCGCGGCCGCGCCGCCCTCCTCCACCTCGAAGACGAGCTCGTCGTGCACCTGCAGCAGCAGCCGGCCGCGCGGGGCGACGCCCTCGGCCAGGCGCGCCGACGCGCCGCTCGACGACTCGGTCGGCACGCCCGACATGCGCAGCAGCCGGTCGTCGATCGCCACCATCGCCCGCTTGATGAGGTCGGCCGCCGAGCCCTGGCAGAGCGTGTTAATGCACTGCCTCTCGGCCTTCCGCCTCTCCTCGCCTTTGGTCGACTTGAGCGCCGGAAGCCAGCGGCGGCGGCCACCGATCGTCTGCACGTAGCCGTTGGCGCGGGCGTGAATCACGAGGTTGCGCTCGTAGGCAGCCACTCCGGGGAAGGTGTCATCGAAGGAGCGGATCAGCGCCCTGGCCTCCTCGGGCTGCACGGCGAGCTCCGCGGCGAGGCGGGCCGGGCCCGCCTTGTACAGAATCTGATACGAGAGCTGCTTGGCGCGGTTGCGCTCGTCGTCCGTCACGTCAGCCACGGCCTTCTTGAAGACGCAAGCGGCGATGCCGCGGAAGATGTCGGTGTCGCCGTTGAGCGCGGCGAGCAGGGACGGGTCGTCGGCGAAGTGCGCCATCAGCCGCATCTCGACCTGGCAGTAGTCGGCCGAGACGAGCACGCAGCCCCGCCGCGCGACAAAGGCGGACCGGACGGAGAGGGTCACCTCGTCGCCGCCGCGCAGCACCACCGCGCCCTCCGGCGGCTGCAGCCGCGGCCAGCCCGGCACGCAAGGCGCGGTCACCACCCGCCAGGCGCGATCCGAAGGCCACTGCTGCACCGCGCCGCCGCAGCGCGCAATCGCCCGCTCGCCGACGGGCTGGGCGCGCAGCGGCAGCGCCTCGTCGGCCGCGGGAGAGCCGTGGGCGTCGCGCGGGGGCCAGACCTCGGCGAGGCGCGCCTCGACGAACGACGCGCGGTCGGAGAGGTCCGCGCCGGGCAAGGCGAGGCAGAGGAGCGTGCCCCCAGGCAGCGTGAAGGGGGCGAGCGCAGAGCGATGCTCGGCGTGCAGCGAGCCGCGGAGGGGCGTGATGTACGAGGCGGCGCGCTGCAGCGCAAAATCGTGCGGCAATCCCTGTAGGTTGGGCGTCCCCGTCGTGATGCGGCCCGTCTTCGCCTTGTCGTGGGCGTTCAGAAAGCAGTGCAGCGCCCTCGCTGCGGGCGACACAGCCGCCGGGGGGGCGCATTCAACCTCCGGCGCCTCGGAGGCCAGAGCCTCGTCCGGCAGCACCCCACCCGCCAGCTCCGTCGCTTGCTCCTCCTCGGCCTCCTCCGCCTCGTCCTCTCGCCCCGCCTCCGGCGCGCCCGCCGCCCTCGCTCTGGCGGCCTGTGTGGCGGAGGCGGCGCCCTCACTGCCGCCCGCCTCGGCGAGCTGCGGCTCGGGCGCACGGTGGCGGTCGCGCTCCGACTTGCCGAGTAGCTCCCACAAAAGGGCGACCGTGGCTGTCAGCTTGCGGTGGGCGATGATCATGGCCGGGAGCGGGTGCTCGGACCGCAGCAGCTCGAGCGCCGCGCTCGACGTCTGGAACTCGCACATCTTCCTCCCCTTGCCTGCGCCGCCCGCCGTATGCAGCCGCCGCGCGCCCGTCGCCTCGCCGAGGCGGAGCTCGTGGAAGAGCAACGCGCCGACGTCCTTTGGTGACTTCCAGTTGACCGGTCGCGCCGCGCGGCCCGTCTGGCGCGTGCCGTGCTGCTCGAGCGAGCGGAGGGCCTGCTCGCAGTCCACCGCCTGCCTCCGCAACAAAGAGGCGTCGACGCGCAGCCCGCCCACCTCCATCCTCGCCAGCACGGGTGGGAGCAGCATCTCCTGCGCGTAGGCCCTGTCGAAGCGACTGCCCATGTCGCGCACCCGCCTCTCGACATGCAGCATCACGCCCAGCGCGAGCAGCGCATCCTCACAGCAGCGACAGCAGCCATCGGGGGCGGGGGCGTGGCGCGGCCCGACCAGGTGCGGGGCGAAGCCGCGGGCCATGTCGTGCAAGTCTCTCAGCCGCTCCTCATCGCCCGGCGAGAGCATCCACGCGCCCACGTGAGGGTCGAGCAGCAGCCCGCGCGGGGCGATGCCGCGCACGGCTAATAGCGCGAGTTGTCGCTGCGCGTCGTACAGCACCTTCTCCGCCCGCCCGCCAAGCACAAGGCGCAGCGCCTCCCACGCCGGCTCGAGCCTCTCCCCGTCGGCCGGCTGCGTCCCACACAGCGCAGCCTCGTTGACGCCACTCGCTGCGCTGTCGCCGCCGCCGCCGCCGCCGCCGGGCCCAGCGTTGCCGCAGAGGGGGAGGTAGTAGGCCGTGGGCGGCTCGCAGCAGAAGGCGGCCCCCCGGAGCGAGACGCCGAGGTAGGGCGGCCGGTGAGAAGCACGCTTGGCGCCGCTGCCGGCCTGCACGTCGAGCGACATCGAGAAGCGGCTCGCGCCGAGAAGCAGCTGACGAAAGGTGTCGAGGGCGACGTGGCCAATGCCACCGCCCGGCGCCAGATGCAGGGCCTCGCCGCTGGTCGCCACAACAACCCGCTGCAACGCCGAGATGGGCTGAGCCGGAGCGCCAGCGAGGGCATTGGAACTTGGAGCGACGGCCGCGGCAGCAGAGGCTGCGCCGGGTCGCGTCTGCGCCGGTCGCGGCGGCGGCGGCGGCATCTGCTGCCTCTGAGGCATTTGAGGCATGTGAGGCTGCGCCTGCGCGGGCTGAAGCGGCCCAAGCCGCTGCCGAGACGCAGCGGTCCGAGCCGCGTCGTCGCCACCCCACGGCCGCTTTGCCGCCGGCCCAAGTCGGCCCGACGCCGCGACCGCCCCTTCGACCGCCCCACCCTCTGGCGGCACTGCCGGGCCGCCGAAAGCAGCGCTCCCACTCGGCCCAAGGGCAGCGCCCATACGCGGGTCCGCGCTCACGCTCGCTCCAGATCGCCGCCGCTTGCTGCCGACTCCTCGGCTCGCGCCCCTGCCGCCCTTGCTGCCCCTGCCCCCCCTACCACCCCTGCCGCCTCGCCGCCCGCCGCGGCTCCCACGGCGTCCCTCAAGAGGCGCGCCGCCGTCTGCTTCCGCCGCCTCGCCGCTGTCGAGCTCGTGCTGCAAGGCCAGGACCTCGCGCGCCTGCGGGCAGAGATAGAGGTGGCGGGGTGGGGGGTGGGGGTGGGGGGTGCACCAAAACCGCGCAAGTGGGCGCGCGCCTCTTCGATCAGGGTACGCGCGATGGCGCGAAAGTAGGCACCGCGCCCGGTCGCGCCCCGCATGTGCTGGGCCAGCTGCCCACTCAGCGTGCTTGGCTTGGCGGCGAGCAAGTCATCCACCTGAGAGGAGGGTAAACCGGGCACCGATTCAGCTCTGGTTTCGGTCCGGTGGCCGGCTTTGCGACTTTTTAGCGGGGAGCGTGCCTGTCGGTATCCCGCGCTGAAGAGCGCCCCCGCGAGGTGCGGCGTCATGGCCTTGAGCCGCGGCTCGTACAGCGGCACCAGCTCCTGCCGGACGTTGGCCTTCAGCCTGTCTCGCAGAGGCTTGACGAGCTCGCGCAGCATCCACCACGAACCGTCGCGGTGGCCGCCACGACCGTCGCGGCGGTCGTCGCCAGCCATGCGGTCGCAGAAGCGCTCGAGGCCACCCGCACGACTTGCCGCCTCATCTCGCAGCTTGGCGAGGCTGTCCACGTCGAGCGGCTCCTTGTTGGTCGAAAAGATGCGCTCGGGCGCCTCCTCGGCGAGGTGCATCTGGAGCAGGACCGTGTACCAGAGGCGCGCCCACCGCACCGCCTCCTTGCGCTGGGTTCGGTAGGGCAGGACCGCCTCTTCCCCCGCCGCGACGGTCTCCGCGAGGAGCTGCCGACTCAGGCCCAGCCGGTCGGCGAGGGCGGACAGACGGCGCGCGTCGCCTGCTTTGCTCGTGTCGACCAGCTCGGCCAGCCGCCTCCACCGCACGGGGAAGTCGAGCCTGGGCGGGCTCGAGCTCGATGCGGGCTCGAATATGCTCGCGGGAAGGCACAGCCAGAGGAGGTGCCAGTCTTCGTGCCCGAGGTAGAGCCCGTTGGAGCGCACCTCCTCCAGCTCCTCGAGCATCTTCTTGGACTCCTCCAGGCGGTCCGCGCTCGCCATTGCAGCCGCGGCAGCGCCCCCGAACGGCAGCGCCTCCCACTCGACGAGCTTGCCGCCGCCGGCGGCGATGTCCGCCGCGTTGTACGGGTAGGACCGCACCAGCCCGGCAGCACGGAGCGCTTCGAGCGCTCGCTCGAAGGCCTGCTTGATCTGCACGCGCGCCGGCTTGTCGGCCGCCTGCTGCCAGAGCAGGGTCGCCCACACCAACGCCTCCACCCCGGTCCGATCGATGACCTGCCGCGCCACCATCGCCTCGAGCAGCAGCCGTTGCACCTCGTTGCCGCCCCAATCGCCCTCGCTGCCGCCGCCACTTCCCTCCGCCGCCGAGCGGGCGGCGGAGGTGGACAAAGCGGTCGCGGGAGCGGGTGGTGGCGGCGGTGGCGGTGCGGGTGGTGAAGCGGCGTGAGCACTCTCGGGAGCGATGGCTGGTGACGTGGAAGAAGCGGCGCCGCCGCTGGCGCCGACACTGACGGCGGCGCTGACGGCGGCGCTGACATCGGCACCGGCGCCAACACCAGCAGCAGCGGCGGCGGAGGCCGCGGCGAGTGCGGCGGCGGAGGCGGCGGCGGAGGCGGCGGCGGAGGCGGCGGCATCGGGTGCGGGTGCGGGTGCGGGTGCAGCAAGTGCGGGTGCGGCGGGTGCGGCGGCGGAGCGAGAGAGGAGCCGTGAAGTCACGGGAGGGATGGGCTCGGCCAGCAGCTGCACCGCCGCATCGACCGACGGCTGCACGCCGCCCTGGGCTCCGCCGCCGGTGAGCACGAACGCATCGCCCGCGTCGCACATTCCGGTGCGGCCCGCGCGGCCAGCCATCTGGCGAAAGTCGGTGGCGGTCATCGAGGACACGCCCTTCTTGAGGCTCCAGAAGAGGACGCGCCGCACCGGCAAGTTGACCCCGGCCGCGAGGGACGATGTGGCGCAGAGCACGCGGACCAGGCCGGCGCCGAAAGCCGTCTCGACCAGCTGTCTCTCGCCCTCGCTCAGGCTCGTGTTGTGGACGGCAAACCCGTCCCGCAGCAGCGCCTCCAGCCTCGGAGTCCGGATGCCGTCGGGGCAGCACTTGTGGATCTCGAGGTCAAGATCCGGCATCGCCCGGCCCTCCCCGCCCAATCCCGCCAGGCTGCCGCCGCCGCCGCCGCCGCCGCCGTCTCCGCCGCCGCACAGCCTCTCGCGCAGGTCCCGCGCGACAGAGAGGCAGTCGGACTTGGTCGGGCAAAAGACGAGGACCCCGCCGCCCGCCCCCGCGCACAGTGCCGCAGCGAGCGCGAGCGGGTCGACCGCGCCGCTCCCGGTGACGTCGACCCTGAGCTGCCCTCCATCTCCAACCACGGTGCCTGGCGGTGGCGCCGCGGTCGCCGCCGAGCCGTCAGCCTCGAGCAGCGAGCCGTCGCGCCGGACGAGCAGCTGGCGGAGAGGGGTGGGCCGCTCGCTAGAGACGTAGGTTGCGGCGTCCAGCCAGCGAGCGAGGTCGTCGAGGTTCGGCAGCGTCGCACTCATCCCGATCAGCTGCAGCGGCCGCCTCTGCGCCGCTGCTCCCGCCGACGCTGCGGCGGCCTCCGCGGAAGCGTCGGCCTGCGTCGCGCGCGGCGATGCCGCCGCGACGGCCAGCAGCCGCATCTTCGCCAGCAGCCGCTCCAGGCTCGCTCCCCGCGACGTGTCTCCGACGAGGTGGATCTCGTCGGCCACGACGGCGACGATCTCGTGCAGCCGCCCCTGCTCGGCGAGGCTCTGCACGACGCCCGCGCCCTTCTCGAGCGTCGCCACGAGCAGATTGGCTCGCGGCGGCACGGGATACGCGCCGAGTGGGCCGGCGTAGTCGGCGACACGCATGTGGGTGCCACGCAGCAACTTCCGGAGGCGCACCCCCTTCTGGGCCACGTCAGCCTTGTACGGCACCAGGAAGAGCGCCTTTGCCTGCGCGCCTCCGGCGAGGAGCCGCCGCAGCAGCAGCACCTCCGCGACGAGGCTCTTCCCGCCCGACGTGGGCGCCACGTACACCAGGGCACGGCCGCCCTCCAGCACGCCATCCAGCGCGAGCGCCTCGGCCTGCCACGCGTGCAGCGCCGTGATGCCGAGCGTCGCGTAGTTGGCGACCAGCTGATCGTTGAGGCCGTACGAGGCGAGCCTCAGATCGTGGCCGGCCCCCTCCTCCGGCCTTGCCGTCTGATTTGTCGGCTGAGGCATACCGGACGACGACTTTGGCCGCCGCCGCCACAAAAGTGGTCGCGGCCAGCGCGGGAAAAAGCCGGCAGACAATTTTGGTCCCCCCTTCACTCCATGCACCGAGGGTACATTGGCGCGTAAAAGGAGAGTCACGGGATCGCGCGCCTCCACCAGGAAGGACTACGCAGCATCCCTTCGAAGCATCCCTGACATCCCAAAAAATACGTTGCCGTTGGCGCAGCAAGAGAAACCGCGGACCGCCACTCACTCACTGCAACACGCCGTGCAGGCAGCCCGTGCCTTTTGGTGTACCCCGTTTGTACCGCGTCCTGTGCCCCCGAGTTCATTTTGTACAAACAAACACAAGACTCAAAACTCCGACGGCTAAAAGACGCCGCGGACAAATGAAAATCGGCGACGCCGAATTCTACACATGACAAACATGTGAACAGATCCACAGTCGTCTACTAAGAGCATAGCTATCGGCGCGACGGCCTTTGAGCGGAGGGTCTCGGGGAGCAAAAAGAGGCGCCTCCGTGCACAGGTCAGCCCCTTGGAGTGTGAAGGCTTCGTAGGACGTACAAGTAGCCCTCCGGTCAACATGTCTATGAAGATCCGCAGGACTGGAGCGAAAAAAAGGCGAGTGCTCCGTGCACGTGCCTGTTGCGTGTGTAACTTTCAGCAGGGACGTCAAAGGCTCAATAGGACGGCGACCGCCTCCACTGTGAACCACTTTTGATGCCTAATCTCAAAGTATAGCCAGGGGGGATACCCGTAGCCCCCAAAGTGAACTGCCTGATCGACTCCCCGGCACACGGCGGAGGAGGAGGAAGACAGCACAACCCAGGGCGGGAAGAGCACAATGCTCAGGGTGGGACAAACACCGACAGACGAGAGAAGAGGCCACAAAACAGACAAGCAGAATGGCAAGAGAGAGACGCTCTGCAGGCGAGCCCACGGGCCTCTTGGGCCCTCGCGTCTCTCTCTCTCGATTCGTTACACCGATTCGACCATCAATGCGGCGGGCCGATTTCGACCCATCACAAATGTGGGAAGCCATTAACCTCCCTTGGCTTCCCACACAAACCCCCCTTCATGGGGGGAGCAGCAAATGAGGTAGTCTCTGCGAAATCACTGTCCCAGTGAATTCGCCCTAGACGCCTCCGTGTGTGGACTCGCAGCTCCGGCTGGATGTCGGCGACCTAAAGCTCGGCGGTCGTCGCTTCGCGCCGGCCGACTCCCTGTAGGACGGCGACCGCCTCCACTGTGAACCACTTTTGATGCCTAATCTCAAAGTATAGCCAGGGGGGATACCCGTAGCCCCCAAAGTGAACTGCCTGATCGACTCCCCGGCACACGGCGGAGGAGGAGGAAGACAGCACAACCCCATCGCCAATCCTGTCGAGGTCGATCCACCGTCTCGCGCGTGAATCGGCCGCGACCTCCACCTCGAGGCGAGGGCCCACCCTTGTGTCGAGTGCCCCTCCAATAGCTCAGTAGAAGCGCGAAGTGTTCTACGGCCGCGACCATCACCATCGTAGGTCCTTGCACTGCGACTGCGCCACCGGCCAAGCTCCAGTGCGGTTGACCCCCATCCAGGAACTGCCCGACGATAGGGCTGTCGCCTCATCCATGCCGCTGACCGCGCCCAGCAGCGGGTGCTCGCCGCTGTCCACGGACGCGGCTCGTCAGGCGGCGCGGTGCCGCCGGCTGCGGCTGTCCCGGCCGTCGCGTCCTCGAGAGAGGCGAGCGAGCCGGCAGCAGAGCCCGTATGGCCCTCACCGCCACAGCCGCTCTGCCTGCTGACCTCGCTCTCGCCGCCGCCGCCTGCAGCGGCGCCTCCGCGGCTCCGAGAGGACCCGGCCCGCGGCCGCGCCTCGTCGAGCGCCTCGTCGACGCCCTCGGCGACGCCTCCTCGCGTCGCGTGCCCGTGAGCGGCGGCCGCCCCGCCGGCAGAGCTCGAGTGGCCCTCCACGCCACCCCGAGACTGCCCGGCGATGGTGCCTCCGCCGCCGCGCGTTGCCGCCGCTGCCTCGCAGCGGCTCTGTGCCTCGGCGCCGAGCCGAGACATGCCAGGCGGCCCGCCGCCGCCCACCGAGACGAGGCCCGTCCCCTCGTCGTGCACCGCGTCGCTCGCGCCTCCGCCAAAGCGATCTCGATCACGCTTTGCGGCGACGGCGCCATCGACGCCAACTTGCGCCGCTGCTCTCGCCCAGCAGCGGGTGCTCGCCGCTGTCCACGGACGCGGCTCGTCAGGCGGCGCGGTGCCGCCGGCTGCAGCGACGGCTGTCCCGGCCGTCGCATCCTCGAGAGAGGCGAGCGAGCCGGCAGCAGAGCCCGCATGGCCCTCACCGCCACAGCCGCTCTGCCTGCTGACCTCGCTCTCGCCGCCGCCGCCTGCAGCGGCGCCTCCGCGGCTCCGAGAGGACCCGGTCCGCGGCCGCGCCTCGCCTAGCGCCTCGGCGACGCCCTCGGCGACGCCTCCTCGCGTCGCGTGCCCGTGAGCGGCGGCCGCCCCGCCGGCAGAGCTCGAGTGGCCCTCCACGCCACCCCGAGACTGCCCGGCGATGGTGCTTTCGTCGCCGCGCGTTGCCGCCGCTGCCTCGCAGCGGCTCTGTGCCTCGGCGCCGAGCCGAGACATGCCAGGCGGCCCGCCGCCGCCCACCGAGACGAGGCCCGCCCCCTCGTCGTGCACCGCGTCGCTCGCGCCTCCGCCAAAGCGATCTCGATCACGCTTTGCGGCGACGGCGCCATCGACGCCGACTTGAGCCGCTGCTCTCGCCCAGCAGCGGGTGCTCGCCGCTGTCCACGGACGCGGCTCGTCAGGCGGCGCGGTGCCGCCGGCTGCAGCGACGGCTGTCCCGGCCGTCGCGTCCTCGAGAGAGGCGAGCGAGCCGGCAGCAGAGCCCGCATGGCCCTCACCGCCACAGCCGCTCTGCCTGCTGACCTCGCTCTCGCCGCCGCCGCCTGCAGCGGCGCCTCCGCGGCTCCGAGAGGACCCGGCCCGCGGCCGCGCCTCGTCGAGCGCCTCGTCGACGCCCTCGGCGACGCCTCCTCGCGTCGCGTGCCCGTGCGTGGCGACCGCACCGCCGGCAGAGCTCGAGTGGCCCTCCACGCCACCCCGAGACTGCCCGGCGATGGTGCCTCCGCCGCCGCGCGTTGCCGCCGCTGCCTCGCAGCGGCTCTGTGCCTCGGCGCCGAGCCGAGACATGCCAGGCGGCCTGCCGCCGGCCACCGAGACGAGGCCCGCCCCCTCGTCGTGCACCGCGTCGCTCGCGCCTCCGCCAAAGCGATCTCGATCACGCTTTGCGGCGACGGCGCCATCGACGCCGACTTGAGCCGCTGCTCTCGCCCAGCAGCGGGTGCTCGCCGCTGTCCACGGACGCGGCTCGTCAGGCGGCGCGGTGCCGCCGGCTGCAGCGACGGCTGTCCCGGCCGTCGCATCCTCGAGAGAGGCGAGCGAGCCGGCAGCAGAGCCCGTATGGCCCTCACCGCCACAGCCGCTCTGCCTGCCGACCTCGCTCTCGCCGCCGCCGCCTGCAGCGGCGCCTCCGCGGCTCCGAGAGGACCCGGCCCGCGGCCGCGCCTCGTCGAGCGCCTCGTCGACGCCCTCGGCGACGCCTCCTCGCGTCGCGTGCCCGTGCGTGGCGACCGCACCGCCGGCAGAGCTCGAGTGGCCCTCCACGCCACCCCGAGACTGCCCGGCGATGGTGCTTTCGTCGCCGCGCGTTGCCGCCGCTGCCTCGCAGCGGCTCTGTGCCTCGGCGCCGAGCCGAGACATGCCAGGCGGCCCGCCGCCGCCCACCGAGACGAGGCCCGCCCTCTCGTCGTGCACCGCGTCGCTCGCGCCTCCGCCAAAGCGATCTCGGTCACGCTTTGCGGCGACGGCGCCATCGACGCCGACTTGCGCCGCTGCCCTCGCCCAG